TTTATAAAAATATATTGAACAACATAAACATGACAAAATTGTAACGGCACACCTTGCCGTGATAGATAACTATAGAATTTTTGTGTATTTGGAACACAAAAAAAATTAAGTATATTATATGAAAAATGATATTTGCCTTTTGGCAATGACGTAATTTTGTTTTGCAATGAACTTTCTTATTTGGGCAGTAATTTGTATAGGTGTATATAATTATAAATTGCAATAAATATAAATTATAAAATGAAAATAGGAGTGCAGGCAAATGTAACATTTTGAAATAAGTAGGTGATAATAAAATGGGAATCAGGTTATCAGAGTTAAAATCTTTTCATTTTATTTTAAAATTATTGTGGTACACGTATTGGATATATTTAGGCATTTCAAGAGGTAGCAGTTTTTTAATTTAATTCACATTTTCATTTCAATACTATCTAAGTTATCCAAGCGTTTCTTAAGATTTACAGTCAATTGTAAAATTCGTCCGGACTATTTGTATATATATAGTGTATAAACACTACAGATAGTAAATAAGTATTTAGAAAAAAATCTGGTTATTAGACCTCAGCGATAAGTCAAAAGCAACCCGTCCATTCTGGCTTTGCGTCGTCCGATCTAAATCAGACCGGGAAGAAGTGATATCATAGTATTATTGAGCCTTATTTCGTTAACTTTCTACTACATCGACGCTAGTATTAAATTAAAATACAGACCAACTTAAAACGCTTTTATCCATCAGAATTAGAGAGCTTAACATATTAAGAAAAAATATAAAGAGAAATTGGCTGACAACGAGAGGCTATCTTGTGTAAATTGGAAGGTTAACCACGAGCTTTTCGAAAAGGAGGGATAAACGTGAAACAATTATTAATAGTATTAACAATATGTTGACATCACATAATGTGTTTGCTTATTAGCATCTATTGATGTTAAAAATTTTCTTGACGTGACGTTAACGCAGCGTTAAATGAAATCAGTTAAATTAACGAAATATCTTGTATGTTACATTCACACGAATGCCTTCAGTTTGAATTTTTATTTGAGAAACAACTTTTTTACTTTGGTGAAATTTAATTGAATGATAGAAATATTTGGATGCTTTGCTATAACATATAAAATATGATTACATTTGGAGTAGAGTATATACATTTAAAATATGTATAATAATTTTTTTTTACAGAATTTGTGATATTCTCTCAATATTTGTGGCAATATATCGGGGATGATTAGATATAAAAATATAAGTTACTATTTCAATGAGAAATAGCTACAATGTGGTGTTTGATATTATTGCGATATTGTCTACCAGTCGTATATTTCGATATATGTAAAAACTATTACCTTAAGCTATTTTATAACGTTCGTTAATCTCCCTAGCGCAGTCAGTTCGTATTGATCTACAAAAGTACAAACAATAAATAACTAGCAATTAAAAATACATACTTACATATAATAACTACATGAATCTAACACTATTGTTACTTGTATATTGTTAAAAAAACGAAAGTGCAGGTACCGCAAATGGAGAAGTAAGCGTATCCGTTATTAATTTACCATACATCTTCTGTACATGAGGCGGATAACGTGGCGTTTGTCACGTGTACGTACCCACGTCAACACAGCAAGCGTCAGCGAACGATGTGCAGTTGTCGTTGTATCAGTTTTCAAGACAAAACCACTGCAATCGGAGCTTTGTTGAAGGTTGTAATTACGCATGCAGCAATACAGAACTATATTTTATTTATTACGAATGACAAAGAACGTACTACGCCGCGCATCTCATATAATTATGTCGATCCTATGAATATCATCTCGGTTACATTTGCTCTGTTATCAATAAATATTAGTTGCAGTGAGATTATTATTACTATGTCAACTTGTAATGACACAAACCAATTGTGACTTTTTCAATTATTCGGAAACTATCATACGAATATCGGTCTTGTATTAATACAGCAAATTATCAAATAAATGGAAGATTGATATTTTGTTATTGTCATAATGCCAATTGCTATGTACCTACCTACATAATTAAATCACATTGTAAGAAATAAACTGAGTACTTCTAAGTTGACACCAATTACACATAAAAAAAATGAAAGCGAAACAAGTTCAACGCCGAATACTCCAGCCGTGACTTATATACCATAACATTTATTTAGGAACATAAACATTTTACAAAAATATTTTTTTTTATTTGGTTGCATTTATATTCTATGAATTATTCACATAAGTGCAGTTTGAAGAAATAAGACTCGAGAATATGAAATTCCAACAAATCGGTAAAGACATTGGGTTCCTCGAACACGACAGGTTTTCGGTGAAATGCACCATAGCCTTTAAGTAGTTATTGATATTGATTGATTTTAAACAGATCGTTCCAACATTTCGGACTAAAGTCTTGCTTATATTAGTATAAGTAAAAATATTTTTTTCCTTTTGATCCAACTGCCTAACTCAATGAGGTAAGTGTGTCAGTTAAGTTAAAGTAACAGCGAAATTCAACCGGTTATTAAATACAGAAATGGCGCATTGCGTTACATATAATCGGTGTAAAAAAATCACACATAATATATAACTTTGTGAGTTGTCTGAATTTCAAAAGAGAAAGAATGAGATATAAAATCGTACGTTGTAAAATCGACGTCGTATCGTCTTATATACACAACGCATTCATTCATTAGACGATTAATCTTGCAGTACATTACTTATTACACTCGCGTAAGCAGAGTTCCAACTATAGACATGAGGACATCCATTTTGCGGTAAGAGTATTCTGATAAAACAACCTAGTATTGAGTATAACTTTAATAACAGATTGCTGCTAATACCTATGTAATTTTGCCAAAATTAAAATTGCCACCAATGAAAAATGTATTGAAAATTTCTCTTAAATCATATTGAACATACCGCAAAATGGATTTATTACTAACAGTACTAAAGCTTTCATTGAACCAACAATTTCAATAGCCATTCCTATTCCCTACCACTTTCGATCTACACATATTACAATAAAGCTTCCTTTTACATTCACTATAATCACAACTCAATACAATTTCCAGTTCTACACTATCATCAGAGCCAATTTAACAACACCTAACAAATGCAATGGTACAAAAGATTTATCTTTGCATTTTTATGTATCCTGGAATAATCAACTACAACATAATGTATATATCTTATATTTATACATTTCCTATTAAAGTTACAGTTTTTAACTGATAGAGGTGTTATAAAAAGAATGGGAGGAGATTGCTCACTTCTGGGGAACCATTTCAATGAATAAAATGGTTTTAAAAAAAAAATGGAAAAACTATTGTAATAGAATTAATTAATCATTAGAAAGCTTTTCCACATTTCTGCAATGGAACAAAACACGTCTAGAATTTTAATGGAGCACTAAGGTTATTTCATGACTAAATATCCTCTTGGTTTATAGTCTTTTGCTTCAGTAATTTACATCAGCAGTAGTTAAACATCAGTCGCCACACATTACGAAATAGAATAATTAAAGAAATTAAATGTATTATAGTGCATATAACACTTAACCAAATAAAAGAGTACATACTAAGATTCTGTGGAATACATTTGGCTAAAACTGCTTTGTGTAAAGATATTAATGAATCAGTTTATTATCCTCTCATTCAAACTATATCACCTATGACATTTTTATTACAATGACAGGAGCATAAAATGTAAATTGGACGATATTCAACACTGGGACTTCATAACTAAGTTAACCTTTATCTGTTCAGTTATTGCAATTGCGATCGATGATCGAACATTTAACAACTTAAGACATAGTTTGAACACGACATTTAAACAGATTAAATTCAGAATTAAAGAGCAGGAAACAATTATTTTGTATGAAGAATACAGACCCTTTGCCAACATGATTCGTCTATTTTTAAATAGTTACTATTAGTGCAATTAAAATTTTTAACCAATTCAGACAAAGTACTCTGTGATAAGATGGCGACAAAATTGGACCTACAAGATAAAATGAATTTTCAGTATATCAGATAGATTTTTGAAACATTAAAATTTAAATTACAAAAGTATTTTATAAATAACAATTAATTTTTTTAAATGATTTTCTACTTACAGTTTGGTAATGCTAGGAATCTATGCTTTAGTGGGTATCCTTTTGATAAATAAGGCATCTGGTTTTGTCTTGTTTATATGTTATATGGATATTATATTGTTACACATATATATTCATTTATACATATAATTGCAATGCAATGTATGTTTCAACTTCTTGTCCTTGAACTTGCGTTTAAAAACTTTATGAACACAATATTTTAGTAAACAATGATTCTTTTTATTTGATTTTATAATATTACTGTTCTTTAGTAGCAAACTTCACATATTAATAAATAGGAACGTTGAATGCCAATTTAAATCTACATTAATGCATATTGTTACTTACTCATATTTAATCGGAAATAATAAATCCAAAAAGCAGATAAACATGAACGTCTTTAACCAACTAATAATTATTTCAATTTTGATTATTCATTTATAAATTCAACCATTTGCAAAACGGACAGCACTAAAGTATTCTATATTTTTTTTTATTGAATAATGTTTTGGTAAAAAGGTGTATACAATAAAACCTTTTTCTTTTCACTTCAGGGATTTGTTCACAAAATGATAGCAATCATCAATTGAAATGATATGCTTTCAAAATTGTTACCAATAATAATGAAAATTGTAATTATTCATATAAAGAGAAACATTAATTCATTAGTTTATCCTCATAGAATATGTAAACTGCAGTATATGACCTCATACATCCATTCCACGCAAAACAATCGTACTTTACACACACAAACATTTGACAGCTTACGCTATACATTTCCCTAATCACATACACGAAACTTAAAGCACGGAGAAAACTAAACATCTCTCAACACTACGGATAACGAATTTGTTCTATTTTATTAGTAGACACATCAATTTCAGCTTCTCTTAACTTTTTATTACTTCATGTTATGTTATGAAGGGGTATTTGTCGGCGTGTTCGCGATCACTGTTGCTGGGACATGCATCTGGAAAAAAAAGTAATTTGGATGTTATGAATATTTTGTGTATGATTAATGATTCGGTGCATTTTGCTGTGGTATGGCCAAAAAGCAGTTTTTGCTGCTGCACAAATAAGCCAGCTTGTCCAGGGACTAACCGCGAATGAGGAAAGCAGTGCCCATTTTTTTAAAAGGTTTTATTTAAGGCTTCACATAAAAAATGATCACATAGGTAGTTGCAATAAGCCTTAACTGTGATCGATTCTGACAAACGTTCCAAAATTAAACATTAAAATTTTTTTGATTGTGTCATTATTTTATACCTAGCTATCTGTGAGTTTAACATTCACAAACCTTGAACAATCTGGGTTGATTTGGAGGATCATTTTGTCCATTGGTCATTTTGCAATTGCCCAATTTATTTTTATTTATTAAAATCTAAAAGTTTTATCATGTAAAGTCCGCAAGTGAGCCCTACATTGGTTGATAATGCCTTGCTAAACTTTAAAAACACGAAAGGTTTATAATTTCATTTCATGCCCGTCTCCTCTGAGGCAACACAGTACTACCCGTACTACCAGTACGATATTAATGAAATAGAAATTAGGTCAATATTAACTTATATTGAAATAAGTCCGTTGGCGAAATTGCGAGTGAACACTGTAGGTATGGAATTTAAGAAATAAGCCATAAATCCGACAGCTGAGTAGAACACTCGCAGCGAGCAACGAGCCGCCCGTTGCTCCTTGTTTCCATGTATTGATATGCGCAATGCGTAATACGCCTCTTAACGACAGTCAGTTTTTTAGCCCAGACCCTCCTTTATGTATTTTTTTATGTGAAAAGTCGCCAAACAAGCAGACGGTACACCTGATGTTAAGTGAATACCCCCGCCCACAGACTTCTGCTACACCCAAGGGTTCCAGATGCGTTGACAACCTTTTGAAAATTGGGCTCCGGCCACCTCACTCACCAGACGAAATATGAAAGTAATATACTTCCACTTTACGCCGGTCTTCTATGAGGTCTTGGTACTTACTCGGACGAGCCTGCCCATTCGTGCAACAGCCGAGGCTGCTGCATGGCCCTACCACCGTAAAAATATGTTACATACTCGAGCACATGTTGAAATGGATTTACGTGCAATCACCTTGTTCTTGGCGGCGTGCGCATTCAACGGCTGAGGGAATACGTCCGCGATCGTGTCGAGCGCTCGCTCGTCTACAACTCGCTCGTCGAGAACTCGGCCGTCGAGAACACGCTCGTCGAGAACTCTCTCGTCGAGTACCGCTTCTAGTGCGGCCGCCAGCTCGGAGCCCTCCGCAAATGGCTCACCACCTTCCGCTGAGAAAGGGGAACTTATTAGACGATAGTCTGGGAATGCGATTAATGTATAATGAAAGAGTGTTAGAGTCTGACGCCAGCCAAAGTCAGTCTCATATATAAAAAGTACTATATAATTAATGGTGTAACAGGTTACAGAAATATATATATTAAATTTCAATTTTTTTTTGTTCAATTTATTTTTTCTTCTGTTTTAATTTTATCATTAACCGCACCAAATTTATGACATTTTAATGATGATCATAATCTTAGTTATCATGTTTACAGATTCAATAACACATAAAGCAATTATGAATTAAATATGTAGAAATCGCAATCCTTACCTTGATTAAAAAACTCTGTGAAAGCCTCGTCTGGTATTTGACTTAGGACCGATGGATCCAATATGTCATCTGGTGGTACTTGCTCGACTTCTATGAATTTCACAAAGAAATTATTTAGGTGACGGCATATATTCTAAAAAAAACGTAGTTAGATGTCGACATTTTCTCCCCGCGGGAATATTGGATATAGCGTGTGGATGCATTATTCAGAAGACGCAGGTTGAAAACTTTGCAGAGGCGAAAAAATTATTCGACAATTGATCTATTAATCTCACATTTAAATTTCAAAATTATTGCAGATTAGCACTTGGACATTATCTGTTTAATTTCACCCCTTGTTACCTGTTTTATTTCAGGTTGGCAAAAAATATTAAAAGATATACAGGCAGGCTTTTTTAAGTGTATGCATTTCTTCATTGAATTCTAGGCATAAATAATGTTATATAAAAATGATAAATATTTAAAATCACTCGTAATTAATTAAATAAATTCCTTTGAACTTATCTCAAAAAGTGCGTGATTTATGGGCAAGTCATTAATTTAACGCGCGATTATTCATAATTAACACGCACACAAGTTCGTTTCAAAATATACGACGCATATGAATGACTACCGCATTGTCAACAAGTTCTATTTTTTAGGGATTGGAATGGCAATTTTTTTGAAAAAAAAAAGCTTGTTTTTGTTTCAATAAACGATTTTACTGCCGGGTCTGAACCTTCAGTGTGAATTTGGGCACCTTTAGAAAAGACACCCTGTATACATATACATAAATATATATAAGCATACCAAGGTCATGTGTGCTAGACGTGCCAATATATTCGCTCTCGCTTAGACCGCCCACAGCAGTATCCTCTGAGCTGTCGTACGCCGATGAATTCGAGCAAATGTTGATTTCTGTGAAGGACATATGAGATGATGTGAAGACAAATTAATTAATTTCTAATAATAACTTAATTGATCACTTCTAATTATTATACCTATCATTTCAGTGTCATGCCATAAAGAAAACAAAATTTCTTTCACAAACAGATGAAATGATTAAAATTTGTATAAAAAGTACAAAAAGATTGTCGCCGCTGTGGGAATCGAACCCACGTTTTCGGCATTCGCGACCTGACTGCTCTAGCCACTAAGCTAAACGGCTGATTGCCACACCGACAAAAATCTTAACATCTTTTATCTACATTGTTTTTTAGCATTTGAAGTAATGCTTGGCGCATACATTGTTATATCCTTTCCAGCATACAAACAATTTCAAATATCGTTTTATAACGATAATTCGAGCGAGAGATAACGCCATTGCTTCTTATAAATTTAAATTTTTATAGTGCTAATCTCTGCATTTAATATTGAACATTAAAATTTGTAGAAAAAGTACGAAAAGATCGTCGCCGCTGTTTGGAACGAACCCACGTCTTCGGCATTCGCGGCCTGACGCTTATATATTAAACACATATAAGCGTCAGACGAAAAAAAATCATTTCATAGTAAAAATAGGCAATAAATTGAACTGTGCGAAAGGGGCAGAGCTATGCGCACCCGAGAGCGAGTGGGCGAGATAATCGCCGGCGCGTGAGCAGGCAGCGACGGCGTTTGGCGTATACATGAACGTATAACGAACCAAACATATCTATTTCATCCCGACCGACGTTCAACCGATATTAGTCTGTGGCAAAATTGACGAACGGCCTTGGCCCCGTGTGAAAGGGACAGGGCTATGCGCACGCACCCGAGAGCGAGTGGGCGAGGTGCAGCCGGCGAGCGAACAGGCGGCGACCAAACGTAATTATTTCATCCCGACCGACGTTCAACCGATATTAGTCTGTGGCAAAATTGACGAACGGCCTTGGCCCCGTGTGAAAGGGACAGGGCTATGCGCACGCACCCGAGAGCGAGTGGGCGAGGTGCAGCCGGCGAGCGAACAGGCGGCGACCAAACGTAACTATTTCATCCCGACCGACGTTCAACCGATATTAGTCTGTGGCAAAATTGACGAACGGCCTTGGCCCCGTGTGAAAAGGACAGGGCTATGCGCACGCACCCGAGAGCGAGTGGGCGAGGTGCGGCCGGCGCGCGAGCAGGCGGCGGCGGCGCTTGGCGCGGCGCGGCGTGCGCGCGGCAGCGGGCCACGGACGCCTGCGCGCCCTCTGCGGTCGCCACTCGCGGCTCAGCTGCTCATAGTTGTCCTGCGCGCCGACGACAAACGCCAGTATTAATCGTCACAATTCTGTACCTCGGACGTAAACGGCATTGTGTGACAGAACACACATTTTACGGGTGAGGCAATAATGCGTGAGTGAATCCTTGAATGCAATTTGATGATGTCGTATACGATTGGATATTGTACTAACTAGGCGTCGTAGGATTCTTTATACTTCTATTCTTCTACTGTAGTAGGACCAAGCAAAGAATGAACAGGTCCGTCCGGGTAAATACCACGACCTTACAGAAGAACGGCGTAAAGTAGAATTGTCACAACTTCTGCGGTTCGTCTGGTAAGTGAGGTAGCCGGGACTCACTTTATTTAAAAGTGGAAACGCGTGTCCATCGGCGGCGGTTATCAATTAACATCAGGTGAACCGCCAGCTCAATGAAAACGGAAACGCGGTTAGCCTAAACTGTATATTATACAATGTACAGCTTTCTTTCTCCTCCTCTATACTTTACACCCTTCTTCTCTATCATGCAACGAAATGCGGCCGAAAGTGAGAGCCGAAGTGAGTCTCTTAATAGAACTCTACCAATAACAATACTGTAACTAGGCCAAAAAAATCAAAGGTTTTATTAAAAAAAAAAAACTAAAACTAAACCGCCCGCGGACGCTTACGCGCTTCCAGGCGTGCTCCGCGCAGAGCGGCGTCTGTTCCTGCAGCGGAAGCAGCGGCTGCTTGCAGCGCTCGCCGCCCGCGAACACGGCCGCGCACGCAGCGTACAGCCGCTGCTCGGGCGCGAGCGTCACGTGCGCTAGGCAGTGCCGCCCGCACGGGAGCGAAGCGCGCGCGCACTTCTCCGCCGCGCACGCCCCGCCCCCCGCCCCGCTGTCCGACGGCCGTCCGCTCTCCCCGCCCGACCATCCCGACTCGCTGCGAACGAATTATAATACTGTTTATATAAATTACTGTACTCACCTAGCCCAATAATAGCACCGATCGAGCCGAGATCCAGCCACCTCGGGCATCCTCGAACCGAAATTCTAAACGATCATTAAGTAACGTGTAGTGAGACGGCCCGAGCCGAGGCACTCTCGGGAGCCTTCGAGATTAGTCACTCACAAACGAGGTTTAGGCATCTTTTAAGGCCTCCCAAAGACTAACAGTGAACCATCCAACAAAAAAAAAATACTGTCCTTAATAAAAAAATAATGTCTTTAGTAAATAACGGCGAATATGGCTTTAGTTAGCAAGCCACATTCGGGCGCATAACCGACGTATCTAAGATATTATGTCAATTATGCGCCCGAATGTGGCTTGCAAAGCAGAATCTGATTTATATGTCCTATTGCAGATCGCACAATACAACTAACCGCTGAAGTTATAGGTGTAAAACGTTATTAAAAATGCATTCGACCGCGCAATGGTCGACTTTTAGGCCTTTACGGAGCTTTGGAGGAATATTGACTTCGCAAGCCAACGCAATTAATGCCACAAAGTAGATATGCGCGAACTTGTCCCTAACTCTACTGCTTCATGCTGAAGACGTTTGCCTATAACTATTACGTCGGGTACCCGTAGAGGTCAAAGTCAAATAATTAAAATTAATCAGTAGTCTTCTTTTCTGTCACGGAAATAAATATTACTTTTATAGTCTGTAATAGATTAACGAACAAAAATCAAAATAAAAAAGTAGTACTTCGATGACATCGTTCACTTCACGTCGTAGTCACTTAATAATTTATAAAGACTTCGATGACGTTATCGATTTTCGACGTACCGTAGTCTTCTACGGTCCTCCGACGTCAAAACATTATGCATGCCGCGCATCGCCAGCAAATGATTCACAGTCTGCGTCGGAAGGCGGCACGGCGAGCTTTGATCATTCAATTGTTTCTGTAAAACAAGTTGGAAAATAATAATATGGGTTTCATAAACTAAAAGTGTAAAGATAAACATATTAAAGAGAAAAAAACAAAGTTAAAATCTTTCAGATTTCGTCCAGTTATTCCTCTCAGTACGCAATTTATATGCTCCGCCTCAAAAACAAGATGGGCAAGAGTATGTCTCTCTCATTCACGCCGAAAGCTAAATGGTTTTCTGTCCTTTTCTTGCTTAACTTTGGTACAAATGAGAACAAGTTTGATTGGATGTAAATATAATATAGATAATATAATTAGCAAATGCTTTATTATATATTCTAAGTTGTTGACGAGTATGTAAAACAAGGATAGCTTTTATTGTTGCACGAATGGGCAGACTCGTCTGGGGAAGTACAACGGCCTCATAGAAGACCAGCGTGAAGAAGAATTATTAATATAAAACTGGTGAGTGAGATAACCGGAGTCCACATTTTAAAAGGTTGTCAAGGCAACAGCAAACCATCGGCTGTAGATGTCGAAGGGCGGTGGTATTTATTTAACATCAGGTGAACCACTTTGTTGGTTTGACAAATTTTCGCATAAACAGGAAAGTCCAACTTAGATGCAGAGTTTGGGAAACTTCAGCATATGTTGCTGACAATGTAGTACATTTCTGTGATCTATGGACCTGAGACTAGGTCCCACACTGCTGGCCGTTTGTGGAAGCCAAAAAACGTTCAGTATAGAGCTATGCGGTTTATGCTTGGTATTGCGTGATAGTTTGCAATGAAGATATCCGTATTAGAAAAAAGGCTATCCAACACAGTTCAGAAGATTGGTACGCTGAAGTGGCAATGAAACCAATAAGTTAGAGTTTACATATTGCCTGTATATTTGAATGCAATAAAAGTGGAGCACACCCAAAAGCAGCGCACTCTCTCGATTGACATTTATTTCAACATGCCATTTTTGAAATGTAATTTCAAAAGCAAAAAAGACAAGAGATCAAGATATCGACCGCATAGCTTAGTGACTAGAGCACCCGGGGGCCATTACACGGAAGGCGCAGGTTCGAATCCTGGCGGAGGCGAAAAGTTTTCGACAGTTTTTGTACACATTTTAAGAATCCATAGGAAATTGGACCTTAATAAGGGTGGCTAAGGCTCGATGTTGGCTGTGGTCGCTGGCCAGTCGCAGCGTAGCGGTTGCGCGCGCTACGTGCCGCCGTAGCGCCGCCCTGCGTAGTGCTAGCCTCGCGCTACGCGACTCCGCAGCGCACTCCTCCACGCAGACGGGCCCCGAACCGCTTTCTGGAAACAAAGATTCGAGTCACTCACTGACATGAATAGGCCACAATTTGCGCGTTCCGAAAACAGTTTTTGGGATCTGGTTGTAATTTGAGTTTTGGTGATTGACATGTCTATGATAAAACTTGCACTTATGGTGTAACTTGATTAATTATGCTTTTTCTTTAAAATCATAAATTTAAGATAAAGCTTTCAATATTAGACTTTTAATTTAACTGCCTTAAAAACCCTCCAATTTATTTGGTTTGGCTTTGGCACTAACCCTTGTACCTGAACTAAATGCCCAGACAAAAATTTGTGCATTAAGATTTCAGTCACACATTAAAAGCAGTTATTAACTTAGCACCATAAATTTGCATATCAGATCTTATAAATTTTGTACACATATTATGTATTCTAAATTAATATGGAAATGTTTTTTTTTACTTATATGCAGTAAGGAGACAACAAAATCTCATTATTCTATGTCCCTTGAAGTCTACCCCACAATTTGTGAATTACTGTGAAATTGCTTTATTATTTCAATAATTATTATTTATGTGAAAAGTTGCCAAGGTAGCAGACGTTAAGTGAAAACTGCCGTCCATGGACATCTGCTACACCTGAAGGTTTGTAGATGTGTTGACAACCTTTTTGAAAATTCTGAAATCCATGTTTAAATGCTCACCAAAATCAGGCATATTGTCTTCATCACTACTACTGCTCTCCACTTGTCTAAATGCATTCGCCTTTTTCTCATCCAATGGGCCACATTGAAACAATTCTTCACCGGGTGCATGCCATGATGTATTAGATAGTGCAATCACTTTGCTATGTGAAGGTATCCGTTGTAAGGCCTCATGAACTGTGGGCCCTCTCCCACGCTTTGCCTTTGATTGGGTTGCTTTTACTAAAAAAAAAATTACACATAGATATCTACTTAACATGCAACACCATACAAAATTGCTTACAATAACAGACAAGAATAATTTTAAATATATTTAATCAAAATGTGTTAAATTAATAAATAGAGATAAAACCATTTCCTTTAAAAGAAATAGTTCAAATAACTTTTGTTACACAAAATAAATTAAATGTTACAAGAGTATTTTCAAATTATTTAAAAAAACATTACTATATTCATTACCTGTTCCTACTTGCTTCCCTGCAGATTGTTTTTTACTTATTGGTGTAGGGACTTTTACAGATGGGGACACTATAGCTTCTGTTTTTATCACCATTGTTGGTTCCTCTGTAACTCCTTGTTCTCTTTTAAATACATCCAAAAATGTCTCTGGTCCTGATATTTTTGCATTTGATACAGACTTTGAATTAACAATGTTTGAATTACCACTATTAATACTGACTTTGACACTGTGAGATGGCGCAGTGATATTATTTTGAATCTTCAATTGGTTAATATTTGAATGGTGAATTTCTGTAGTATTTGTCCTAATAGGCTCTTTACCAACATAGGTTTGATTCTTGGTATTCAGAACTTTGGCATTTGTACTCTTACTACCTGTATGTATCTCCGAACGGATGTTTTTTTCTATGGGATAGTGGCCATTTTTTGTTTCTTCAAATTCTTCTTTTACACCACCATTTGTCAGTACACCTATTAGATCTAAATCTTTATTTGGACTATCCAGCAATTTACTTTTAACGTCTATACCATCAGAAAAGATGAAATTATCTTCAGTGTGGCTTACTGTTATTTCACTAGCAATGACATCGGAATCATGAAATGTATAAAATTCGTTGGGATCAATTTTAAATTTGCTTTGGAAGAAACTATCACTAAGATGTGGTATGTATGTCTGTTCATCACCTGAACTATCATGTATAAACATATTCACTTCACTACCACAGTTTCCCGATACTCCTTCAACTGCCATTTTATACTGGGATGCACAACTTGCATCTGATATGTTTTGGGGAATATTACTGAAACTATAAATAAAACGAATTTAGTTCACTTCCAATATAATTCATGTGATATTAGTTTAATGTTGAATACTTCATAAACACTTACCCCACATTTTCTGTAGTACTCAAATAAGACATGCTGAGTTCATTTTACAACCTTAACAAGTAAATAACAGTAAAATGCAATTAGTTTAAATTGGTCCCTTTGCTTCATACTGAAAAATAAACATAAACTTTGTAATATTATTGTTTTGTTTAATATAACAAAATGCATGTTTGTTGTACATACGATAAGATTCTTAAATTACAATGACAATTAATCTGACATCTGTCAAAAATACAAATAATATTTCCCCAGAAAATAAGCATACTTAGTAAAGTGTAAATACTTGTACAACTGTAAGAGACACTAACGGATAATTCTACCAAAACAAGCAAAGAAGTACAAATAAAAATAGATAAACGATAAGATCAAGAAGCAGATTTCTCACATTAGAATTAGGATGATTCATGGCACATTTTGCGCTCAATTTCCAAAATTTATATAAATATCACAACGTAATTTTTATTTACTCTATTTTTTATCAATTTGTTTGAAAATGAAGACTTTAGTTCTAACAAACTTTTATTCAATAACATCAACGAATGACAGAATACACCAAATGGCAGCCTGAACGCGATGCGTTCAGCCTTATCCAAATAATTTTTTTATATTGCAAATTTAATGCAAGGTCTTTGAAGAATATTTGGCAGACTTTAAGTTCTATTTTCATATTTTACTTTAAGTATGCGTGTACTGCCATCATAATTTTAATAAGATATTTATAATTCTTCCTTTGTATAAAGTATGGCCCGGCGGATTTGACAGATTGACTTCTTAACTTCATCGCAAGAGATCCGCGGAATAAATGACCCGCAGACTCAGGAGGAGAAACATAATTAGAAGTGGGCGATACAAATCGTATCAGATATGAAAACTAGATATTAGTACAATATCCCAATATCGCTTACTGGCTCCTTCAATATCTATGTATTTTACAATATCTGATATTTCCGAAATCTGATGTACCGTGCTCGCTCGCTATACCGACACGAATCGCGATACGGCGATATCATACGCGTTTGCCACAATATCTGATTTTTAAACAGATTTCGAGAGACAAAGCGCGTGAGATACAAATACTCACTAGTTAGAGCGGGACGGCAAGCAATGCACGATATCAGATATCGAGCGACAAAGCGCGTGAGATATAAATACTTACTAGTTAGAGTGGGACGGCAAGCACTGCACGATATCAGATATCGAGCGACAAAGCGCGTGAGATATAAATACTTACTAGTTAGAGTGGGACGGCAAGCAATGCACGATATTAGATATCGAGCGACAAAGCGCGTGACATATAAATACTTACTAGTTAGAGTGGGACGGCAAGCAATGCACGATATCAGATTTTTAAACAGATTTCGAGCGACAAAGCGCGTGAGATATAAACACTTACTAGTTACAGTGGGACGGCAAGCAATGCACGATATCAGATTTTTAAACAGATATTATGAATAAGTTAAGTAATTTTGAATCTTAACACCATGCAAATAAGATCCGTTTCATTTAAATACTAATCTTGGTATCAGCGATTACTACAACGATATTATTATATTTTTATTGTTTTGTTTAGCCTTGACCCGTAACGGGCGACAAAGCGCGCAGTTAAGTAATTTTGAATCTTAACAGCATGGAAAAAAACTCTGTTGCATTTAAATACGAATTACGGTATTAACGATGTCTTTGAAATTTTGTTCAGCCTTGAGCTGGATCATAACTAATGCCTCCGCAACCCGCACACGCTGTTAACGAAAGATGCGTCGACACTATCCAAGAACTCCCATATAGAATTTCAAACTTCAGCTTGCGAGATTTACAACTAAAAAAAATATAAAAAATATAAGAAACAAAATAATGAATAAAATTTCATGATTTAGCAATAGCCATAAAATATTAAATAAAAATCAAATGAAAATAATAATTATGTTACATTTATATAGAGAGCATTGGAATATCGCCAATATAGAAATTTATGCGAAAGTAAATAAATGATGATTGCTTATCTCTATAATGTTATTCCCTAACAATGATATATGTATTCGTATATATGGCATGTTACTTACATATTTATAAATATCTTATTATTATGAATTATGATTGTAGATAAGTATTTTTCTTTTTCATTCATTTAGTTAACCCACACCTTTATTCCTAAATTATTTCTTTTTCAATCCATCCAAAGGTTGCCTGGAAGAAATTACTCTTAGTAATAAGGCCGCCCATTGTACCCATTACTTCTACATTAAGTTTTAATTTTTGTTTGTTTTATTTTTGGTGTGCAATAAAGTATATTCATTCATTCATTCATTCATGATTGGATCACAGCCAGACTTTTCCTATATAAACCTTTACATGATCCAGGAGTGTACAAGTTGCAACTATCGACAGAATTTATAAAGATCATTAAAAATTTAATTTAAATGGTTTTGATTCCTGTGCTATTGGAGATTCATTTATTTAGACATTGCTTCCTTAGACATATAGTTTTATTTCATGGGGATATTTCTTTGTTTTCTCCCTTTTTTTATTTCATTATTATTAATATTTTTTCGAAACTTATTCTGGATTTAAGTTAGTTCATTATTGCAAAGGAAATCATGTTAAGGAATCTTTGCAACTGTTATGTCTGTAACTGTCTACTTTACGCTATTTTAATTTATAAATTGTTTTGTTCGTCGTAAGAACTCAGCAATACGAACCCTATTCTTTGATCTGTCTCCGTTGTACTAATAACAGATTATTTTTTTACCGCAATTGTTTTTTATTATTCACCTATGGAATTTTTTTTTTTTTTTAATATTAAAGACAATCTTTATTGATCTAATATTTACAAGATTAAATCTATCTAAAATTACATATTATCTAATAAACCTAATCCACGCGGCATGGTGCCAAGAACGCTAGCTGCATTTCCTCGCTGAATAGTTATGCTTAACCTTTGCGCGAGAAAAGAACCAGCTCTCTTGTCACCAGCCGCGGCGTTAAGCCTAGGACATAAACTTTTAAAAAAATTTGATGTGCGGGGACCTATATGGAAATTATATTTAATTTGAATGCATTTTAGAAAGTACTTTGATCTCCCATTCCCATTATGGCAACAATTTTATAATGTCAAATGTAATAGTTTTCACTATTGGTTCATGGTGATTAATGATGTCGCTCATTGGTTGAGTCAAAATCAAGAGTTGTCACTTTTTTAAATTAAGTAAAAATTTACTTTTTTCCAATTTTATATTTAAAGTTCAAATAAAAACATATATTTTTTAATTCATCTTTTCGATGTACTTAAGGCAGAATTAAATTAAAGTTTTTAATTTAAATAGTATTTGTTGATTCTTTTTATAAATTAATATTTAATAATTTCTTTTGAACCCTATTTGAATTTACCGCTCTTTTAGTTTCGATTTGAGAACCCCGTCTTCGAAGCGTTGTTGTGAATCCAATATGGCGATATCTGATGTTGTACTATTTTGAAGGTACGTCAATAGGACGATTCTGTAATGTGTAAATCGGTAAATATACTGTTTTTGGAAACATAAGGACGTATTTAAATGTATGTAACTTAAGTTCACTTTATTTTTTATGTGTTGTAAGTGGAGTGAAAGGTTTACAATTGTATTGTTTTGTTTGTGATATCCGATAAATTTGCGACCCATTGTCATTTCAAGTTTAAAAATCCTTTCTAAATATTTCGCGTGTGTCCTTAGCTATGTGATTTTTTGGGAAATTCATAAGTTTAGTTTTAATGGAGTTAGATTTCATTAAAATTATGTTACATGACTGAATATAATTACTGCAATTAGTTATTCAATGTGAATTTATTTCGTGTATAATAATAAAAAATACAATTGTTATTACAGAAGTGCACATGATTTCATACAAATGGGAGTTAAATAAAAATTTATTTGGGTGCATTAGTTTAGCGCCGTAATAATTGATTTATTATTCGAATACATAGTCATAGGTGTATTGACTATCATGACAGACACCCGACGAAGAGTAAAGCTTTACGCTCTGAACGCCGATCGGCAATGGGATGACAGAGGAACTGGTCATGTGTCATCATGTTATGTAGAAAGGTTGAAAGGTACATCATTATTGGTGAGAGCAGAGTCAGATGGCTCTCTTCTTTTAGAAAGCAAAATTCAACCCGATACAGCATACCAAAAGCAGCAGGACACGTTGATTGTATGGTCAGAGGGAGACAATTTTGATTTAGCATTAAGTTTTCAAGAAAAGGCTGGCTGCGATGAAATATGGGAGAAAATATGTCAGGTATGGTTATTTCATTATAGAACTGTGACTTCCATATTATATAGAAAATTAACTATATTTGAGTAGGCAAACTCTAATTTACCTACTTTGTTTTAAGTGGTGCTTTTGATTCGCCTAAAGAAATTTATTAAATGATAATGAAATAGTAAAAGATGAACTAGTTCACTGTGTCCATAGGAAAGATTTAATTTTAAATACTACAGTAGTCGAGAAAATTTTCACATATAATTTTCTATTTTAGGTACAAGGCAAAGATCCATCAGTTGAAATAACACAGGACATTGTCGAGGAGTCTGAAGATGAACGGTTTGATGAAATGTCTGATAGTGTACAACCAGTTGAATTACCGGCTTGTGAAATGGGACGTCTGGAAGATATTAGTGAGCTTGTTAACAGTTGTTTAGTATCACCTGCTAGAAAAGATAAGTTGGCCGCTGCATTAGAAAGCCAACATTATATCAAAAAACTGTTAAACCTCTTTCGCATGTGTGAAGACATTGAAAATATAGAAGGGCTACACCATCTGTATGAAATATTCAAAAGCATATTTCTTCTCAATAAAAACACACTTTTTGATACAATGTTTGCAGATGATACCATATTTGATGTTGTGGGTTGTCTGGAATATGACCCTAGTTTACCACAGCCTAAAAAACACAGGGAATATCTTCGAGAGCTAGCCAAGTTTCGTGAAGCTATTCCTATAAAAAATCAAGATTTATTAGCAAAAATTCATCAAACATACAGAGTCCAGTATATTCAAGATATTGTGTTGCCCACACCAACAGTTTTTGAGGATAACTTATTGAGTACCCTTTCAAGTTTTATATTTTTTAATAAAGTTGAAATAGTAAAACTTATAGAGGAAGATGAAAAGTTTTTAACTGATTTATTTAAATTATTAATGGATGATAAAACTCCTGATTTGAAAAGGCGGGACTTGGTACTATTTTTAAAAGAATTTTGTAATTTTTCTCAAAATTTGCAACCACAAGACAAAGATGCTTTTTATAAAACACTAGTTACATTGGGGATCCTGCCAGCATTAGAAATAACACTAAGTATAGATGATCAGAAGACGAAGACTGCTTCTATAGATATCTTAACTTACATTGTTGAGTTTTCACCATCTGTTGTAAGAGATTATACCTTACAACAAGCAAACAACACTGAAGAGGTAAGTTACATATGGTACACATCCCTTACACTATTTTGTAATATTGTTATTGAAAGGTTAAAGAAGCAGCTTATTTAATGTTGATATGATTTGGAGTTCCAAATGAAAGGCAGAGTTGTCAGTAGTAGGAAGCATTGTCTACTTAACTCAAGTAATTTCATCATAAATGATGTTACATTTGCAACAACTAATTTCACAATACTGTCAGTTGTGAGCAACAACTGACTATTGTGAAACTGAAATAATAACAAAATACTATTTTCATATTTACTCCTAATTAAATTTATTTCTTTTTATTCAGGAGCAAATGTTATTAAACATTGTGATAGAGCAAATGCTTAGAGACAGGGACCCTGAACTTGGTGGTGCAGTCCAATTAATGGGTGTTCTCCGTATTCTCCTTGACCCTGAAAGTATGCTGGCATCTGTAAACAAAAGTGAAAAGGCAGATTTTCTTAATTTCTTCTATAAGCATAGTATACAAACTCTTATAGGTAAGTACAAGACAATTTATTGAAGGTTAGACCTATATAAAATGTTATTTATGTTTAAAAAGATTTTTAATTGTCTTTCTTCAATATTAGTAAGTATTTTAATATTTCAACAAATAATTTCTCTTATATTTAAAATATAAATTGGTACTATGTATGTTCTAGTAATCTAAATGGAGAATGGAATTAATTGATGTTAACATTAAAAGTCAAAAGCAGATAAGTTAATAAAAAATTAGATAGCTTGTATTGTTCTTATCCTTCAATTATGATTTTGGGTTATAGTTTGCCCTTATTAATCTTAAAAATAGTCTATGAATCATCTAACCCTTAAGAAGCGTAGACATCCATCTTAGGGGTTAGAAGCAACAGCTAGTGTAGTGTAACATAGACATGCTACTTGAAGAAAGAAAAAAATTGTCAATTACAACTCTACAAATGTAAATTGTTAATACTATTATTTCATATTATAATAGGTCTTTTAATTATAATTTCATAGTTCTATTCACTCCTTTGTTTAATATAATTTTGTACTGTTATAATTTTCAGCACCTTTATTGGCTAACACAACAGGTGAGAAACCTCTCAAAGAAGATTATCACACAGTGCAGTTGTTGGGGCTTGTACTAGAGCTTCTTGCTTTTTGTGTTGAACATCACACTTATCAAATCAAAACATGCATATTAAACAAGGTCAGTGTAAATTAATAATTTAGTAATTTAAAAATCAATAGAATCATTATTATACCAAATCTGATTATGTTATTGCTCTGATTACGACACAAAAACATTTTTAGCAACCAATTGCTAATATAGATTAATACACAAAGTGCCACAACACTTGGAGAAGTCAATAACTGTCATCAAATTTGGTAATTTACAATATAGAATGGTCTCAAAGATTTGAGTGTACTGAACACCTTACTTAATTGCTTAAATGTATAGTGAAAAATATACTTTAATTTAAATGTTTATACAGGGAGTCTTTTCTAAGTGTATAATTTTTTTTATTAAATTCTAGACATAAATAATGTTACATAAAAAATGATAAATATTTAAAATCACTCGTAATTAATTAATTACATTCATTTGAACTTATCTCAAAAGTGTGTGATTTATGGGCAACTCATTTATTTTACGCGCGATCATTCATAATTAACTCACACACAAGTTCGTTTCAAAAGTATATGATGTATTTATGAATGAGCGCCTTGTCAACAAGTTCTGTTTTTTAGCGAATAGAATGGCAATTTTTTTTAAAATAAAAGTTTGATTTTCAATAAACGATTATACTACTGAGTCTGAACCTCCTGTCTGAATTTGGGGGCACCTTTTGAAAAGGCACCCTGTATGTTGATACAATTGACATATGTTATTAGCAAAAGAAATATTTAATTTATTAAATATGTCAGATGTATATAAGCTTGTACAAGGAATGAAAACATAGTTACTTAACATAACTCGACTTTAAGTTGACATATATCACACTTAATTTTATTCAAATAATGAGGGTTTTTGAAAATTGAGAATTTTATGGAAGGATTAAGGGCAGAAAAAGTAATACTGATCATCTGACTAAAATAAGATTGTGTAACTTGAAATAAATAAACACGATTTTAATTATTTTGATGACTCCATGGCATTACTTAGTATTATGCTATGTTAAATCATCTGTGAAAATGGTCATTAATTTTATTCATAATAATTTCTAGGATCTAGAAATTTAAATATTTACATTATTTTATGTGTTAATCTCTGCACTTAAGATTAAAATGAGATAAATCTATATAAAGGATGTTGAGAATTTCGTTGGTGTGACAATCAGCCGTTTAGCTTAGTGGCTAGAGGGTCAGGGCGCGCATCCCGAAGACATTCCCAAAGCGGTAAAAACGTTTCGTTCCTTTTTTCTACAAATTTTAATGTTTAATTCTAGGATCTACTTCGTCGCATATTGGTGCTAATGAGATCAACACACACCTTTTTGGTGCTTGGCGCATTGAGGTTTATGAGAAGAATAGTAGCTCTTAAAGATGACTACTACAACAGATACATCATAAAGGGAAACCTATTTGCGCCTGTTATAGACGCCTTTCTTAGAAATAATGGCAGGTAAGGCAAAATAACAAAACATTGTCATATTTATATATGTATATTAATATAGTTTCAGTTAAAACTGTTCTATATCAGTTATTCCTACTATTCAGTTGAAAATAAAACTAAAATAGTATATTTGTCTCTTGTTTTGCCCTTACTAACCAAATGCAAAAATGAAATATATACATAGATTACAGTTCAACTATAGTAGCTTTTCTCTATCAACTGAAGTGTAAAGGTTCTTATCTCTCATAAATTTCTCATAATCTAAAGGTTCATGTTTTTAAGTTAATGTATATTACAAAATCTAAATATGTACATTTGGTTTGAATACATCATTTAAGGAGCAGACAGATGTGTTTGACATCCTTATATTAAAGTATATCTTAGCTTTTAACCTGAATATAGAGCAAATATGTATTTATGGTTTATTTTTACACAAAACTACAGAAGATACCCTTTTTATCTCTTTAAAAAATTGCTTCAAAACCATGAGTATATGACACATACAACCCATGTCAAAATTTTTAGTAGATCATTAATTTTTTTTAGTAATATATCCACAAAAATAAAATGGTTATGGTTAACAGATGAGAACAATAGAAAATTATTTATATCAAAGTTGATATGAAATGATCTGATTTGGCCCAAAACATCCACAAATTTATATTTGTAAGAAGTTTAGTTTTTATTCTGCTCCTTACAAAAATTTTGCTTATTTAAAGATTGTTGGTCAAAATTTGAGCCACAACTCCATTCACGCCAACATAAACCTGTATCTTATAATCATTCTATATATTGTAATAACCTACATTTATTTATATTACAAAAAATTTACATTTGCTAACCTTAATTCTTGCATTATTAAAGTTGTTTAATGAGCCAAGCTGATACTGTGTACTTTAAAATTTCAGGTACAACTTATTAGATTCAGCTATTTTAGAGTTATTTGAGTTCATTAAGTTGGAGGACATAAAGTTACTATGTTCGCATGTTGTGGAAAACTATGGAAAAATTTTAGAGGATGTTGAATATGTGCAAACATTTAAAGCTTTAAAGACGCGGTATGACCAACATCAGGATAAATTAAAAGAAAGAGATAGAGGTAAGCTGAATTTTATATTTAACATCAATACATTTTGAAGAAATTTTTGAGATGTCCAATAATTCATGGTACACTGTGAAGTTTGGCCAACTTTTAAATGTTAATTAAATTTGGGTCTTTTGGATTTAATAAATTCTGTCAGAGCCTGGACAATAAATTGCCTATTATTTACACATATAAATTATGGACTTGTACCGAATAAAACAGGCCAGCATAAAGTAAGAAATATAGTTCCCTACTTTTCTGATTTAAATTTCCGACTTACATTGTTCTATTGTTCCTTTCAATTTTATTATGAATTTTTTTGCAAACTTCAGGGTAACTGTCAAAATAGCAATTTGCGTTGTGCAATCGTTTCAGTGAGCGGGAGCGTTGCGGTGGCGGAGGCGGTGGTGCCATCACTGCTGCGCACGCGGTACAGACGCGAGGCGAGGACCCCCGACGACGAGGAGGAGATGTGGTTCAACGACGACGACGAGCTCGACGATGAGGCGCCGCTCGACGCCGCTCAGCCGCACGCGCACGCTCATCACGCGCTCGACGCCATCGGTGAGTGCGGTACTTGCGCAACTATAGTATGGTAACAGCCACTGCATACGCCACTGCTGGGCAAAGGCCACCTCGGCTCAGAGGGTTATAGTCCACCACGCGGCCCCACTGCGTTATGGCGGACTTCACGTTATTATTTCGAAAATATGTAGGTTTACTCACTGTGTTTTCTTTCACTCTGAGCATGCGATAAGTCGGCACTTAAATTGTCTAGTTACAGAGGTAAATGATACTATATTTGTTAATGGTATTGATTGGGAATCTGTAATTAGAGCATGTTGTCAAAGAAATTCATTTTAATTTTCAATGTCATCACTTAGATATTGGTTGGGCTAATTACATTGAGAACTTCACCACAAGCAAAAAAAATAAACATTGAATGATTGTTTTTATATTGTCAGAAAGTGTTTTTATATATTGTCAGAAAACTTCTAGACTATCATGTCTACTGTTTAGACATGATAGTCTAGAAGCTTCTTCTCTGCAACTCAAATTATCAAAGAACTACACATAATTTGTTGAAATTTATATAATTAGGTAATGACATTTTTTTAGGTAAAATAGTGGAAAAGAAAGTGTGCTCGAATACAGAGACTGTGAATGGACCTAGCAGAGTTCTGCTGAGTACCACAGTCGCCAGCAAGCCGACGCACACTGACGTTCAGGTATCCTCGCCCAGATTACTCAATAAGGTAAACTTTTAGTTCCCTCTCCTCTATTCTATCAGCTTCACTGGGGATCATCATTATCATATAAAAAGTAATTAATAAAACCAAAATCACATTGAGGGTACTTCTCCACTAATACTCAGATACTTTTAGTAATTTTAATGTAATATTCTATTATAGACACAACTTTTGGTTTTGAAAATGAGAGCTATTTCATACATTTTCATTTGAGATTTGTAGTCTAGTATTTTTATGTGAATGTTCATAAACATTTGCTACTTTTCGTATGAACAGTTTGTAAAAACTAAATACTAAAAAAGCTTTGCAATGCTCAATGGGGATTTGGTTTGTTTCAGATTATTTAAATGTATATCTTGTTTGAGTTTAGCTGTGTTTCCTAGTTCTTACATGTTAAAAACTATCCATAAACAATGGCTAAATGTTTGTGGTGTTGTTTGGCTTTCAAAAATTGACTTTTGCATGTCTGATATTGTAAGTTGTATCATTTTCGATTTCATTTTCTTATTAGCCATACACATATCATTACTACTACACAATTTTATTTTCAAGAAGAAAAAATAATGTGTCTATAGATTTTTTAATATTATGTTGCATGTGTCATGTGCAAAATCAACTTTTTAAGGTCCTTCACCTAATGATACCTTATCATGGTTATTAATAATAGTGAAATATTTTCATTCTGAGCTTTTTACCCCTTAGGTGATAGCACGATTGATTAGTAAAAAAAAGAGTTATTATATTTAGCTATATTTTTCGTTTTCTGTTTCTAAGTGTAACAAAATTAATAAAACAAAATGTTAAATAAGATTCAAGTCACATCCTTTGTTATTATATCTGCTTAATTCTGAAAACAAATATAAACTGGGAAATAATTTTGAGTTGTTATTTATCAACAAATGAGTTGTTGTATGACTTGATTGTTTTTCCTATTAAATTAATAAGGCAGCTTACATGAAAAATTTGATTAAAAAAGATTTTAGATATACATGGGGTTATAAAAGTAACATTATTTATTGTTGTTTTTTGGATCTCAAGATAAAATCTTTTTCTTTTTCATTATGTATTACTTGTTATTAGAATTTGGTGAAATATCAGACTGAAAATACGAAAATAAAGTTGTTGCATTTGTTTTGTTCGAAGTTCTGTGTTTGATCGAAGTTTGGTAGTGTGTAATATTCAGTTAGTGTGTTTTTTATAAATTTAGGTTGGATCTCTAGTATCATAGACGTTATTACAATCATATAATTTCCACCAATAATTTCGACAGGGTCTCGTGGACTACGACGGGGACTCTGATGAGGAAGAAGAGGGGGGCGGTGGGGGCAGCGGTAGCGGGGGGAGCGGGTCGGGTGCGACCGAGGAGCGAGACGCGAAGCGGCCCCGCCTGGCGTAGTGCCGCTCAACCGCCCCACACATTTCAAGGAATATAAAGTCCCCCCCACTCGTCTCGCTGCACTGTGCACGACTGTCCAGTGAACGAAAGGAACGAAGCGATCCACTCGTACGACAAAGGTGTACTGTACAGTCGCGTCGAAACGTTGTTCACGGTCGCAGGTACGATTTCCTCTTCCCTATCGCCGTTGCCTCTCGTCAGCCACGCCCTCACTTGAAGGTAGCGCGGCTCACGCGCTCGGACTTTTGCCCTCTTAGTTGATCCGTCATTGACAGCTGTCAAGCTGTGAAGCACTTCCGGCCTTATCGTGTACCGTTCTTCATGTATATAGGATGTCACACGTGTGTCCGCTTTTAAGGTTAGCGTATGAACCTGTTCATACTTGTAGTGTAATTAAGACAGATGATATCGGAGCGTAGAACAAATTTATTAACATTTACGTCATGATGGTGTTTTGTGTAGTAATTTTAACGGTTAGGTTATTTCTCTGACGGACCGTAATCACAAAAAGTACAAAGAATTTTCCGAGTGTTTTTTTTTTGAAAATATGTTATTAATGATGATAGGTTTGAGGGAACACCGTGACAGCGAACGGGATATGTAAAAATATGTACGTATTTATATTGATGTAGAAAAAAAACTATTTAGTTTGTTAATAGTAACATGTGACCAATTTTTTTTTAAAGTCCTACGATGTGCTGTGGAATTGCTACTTAGTAGTGTGTTATTGTATTTTGAAATATCTATTCAATCACAAATAGAATTTATTCGAATAGTTTCTGTCTGAATATAAATTATAAGTTTGTCAGCTTGGTCTTCAGTCGCATATATATTTTCTTTGATACATCTAATACATGTTGCATGAATGTGATAATTTATCTTCAGGTGGTTTGTGTTATATTTTGCACAATAATTGGCATTTTTCTGATTTGCATGTAGAGCTTCTTATAGGAGCATTATCTTAGTTGTATTTCTTTGGATTAACTAAGCTATAATTTCAGTATGTTGCAGTAAACCGAACATGCAGAAACATTTCACAGAATATTTCAGTTATAAAATATTTGATAATTTTTTTTTCTCTACTTTCACACAATGGGTGGGTCTAAAGAAGTACAACTGACATGTGTTTATAACAAAATAATCCCACTTTTTTTTCTCTAATTTGTTAGTATAGTATATGTAAATGAAAAATTGAATGCTTCATGTTGCAAATAGATTATCATGAGGAAGACAAGCAAGGCGTCTAGGATGAAAGCATTAGAATATGCATCAGATTTGAAAAATTATGATATCATAAATTGTTTTGCTTTATTTAAGTTGCTTAAGGTATACATTTTATGGTTCATGTTCTTATAATCCAATTTACATAGGAAGGTAATCAATTGTTGGGTCTTAAACTATTTAAAGGCGGAATTGCTTACGCTGTATAATAAGTTTATAAAACAAAATATCCGAATGCAAAATAAAAATAAAACGTTTTAGACACCTTGCTCTTTTGCTCAATGATAATAATGATGAATTTAGAAACAATAAATTTCTAATATTAAAAAAAAATCTGCCTTTGCTGCTGAATACTGCCTTTTGTTAAAGACTTTGTTTCCTATTCTGAGGAGCTCAACACTTCATAATTAGAGTATTATAAGCTTGCTTTATTTTCACTTGTAAATGAGACGCTTGAAACACACATTGATGTGGGATCCCTTAAACATAACCTAAATTTAATTCATACTGATTATTCTATTTTTGACACTTGATAAATTTGGTGCATCTTTGTATTATCATTTTGTCTTTGATTCTTTTATGGGGTTCATGCCCCTATATAGAATCCGCATCTTTATGCTGCGACCGACCATCTTGTTTGGTTTTGGAATGCGAGTTTTAACAAAGCATTGGGAGCCCTCTTTATTAGCTTACCATGTTAACTGATAAAATAACGTTAACTGTAAAAACCTGTCACCTATGACCGCTCACGCCACCCTGCTTGTTATAAATCCGCAAAAGTAATGTGTATGTGATAAAGGTATCTGAACGAGATCCATTTAATTTTATAAACTTATATTCTGTAGTTTTTATCGTTCATACTTTGTAAATAACATTAGATTTTATATAGTATGTTTAAAGTGCGTTCTATTCGGGGCGACGGTTGCTTTGTTTAGCGGCAATGGTTATCTAGCGGGCCATGTACCTCCCGAGTAACACTTACATAGTAAGTGTATCATTTTTTTGTTTAGCATTGCATATGCACGAAATGAATAAACGGAACTTTAATACTCCTCACCGTACCACATTTATTCAATAACCTTCCTCACCAAATGCATTATTCGCAAACTGCATACAGAACATTAATTTGGTAATATAATTTGACAATTTTAAATTTGGCACAGAACATAAATCACAGAAATATTTATGATAACATTATACCCGCTACTGGTAACAATACAAAAAGTCGAAATATGTAGTAAAGAAACATGTTTTGACGTTGATCATTTCTATAACTTTTTATTTTGGTTGTATTTCATTCCATAAAAATAACCAAATAACATTCAGTTTATAATCTGTTTCTAAAAAATTGTTTACACAGAGGAATTAAGGTGTGGCCCGATGAAAATACAGAATGGGTTAAAAATTAATGATGGAGTAAGGTTGTCTTAAAATAATTATTTATCTTTGTTTTAATTTATATAGTTTGTTTATAATTTTTGGTTTTTCGAGAGAAAAGGAATTATACTAAAATTAACTTATGGTTGGGTGACCTGAGTACAGTAATACGTAAATGAATGCCATTATATTATATGTAAAATGATATTATTGTATATTACAAATGACTAATCTCTAACTAAGCGGACATTTTTATCTCGTGTTTTTAATTGAGGGATAATCATAGGCAACCGGCAGCATATAAAAATTTGAAATTATCACTTTAAAGCTTATGTTTTTTTTGAAAATTTGTCTTGATGAATTCGTTTACTACTAATTATAATATATACTAATAACTATAATATGAAAATGGAAAGAGATCATTCAGTCAGCTCATCTACGTTTCATTTATCCTATTGCTTTATAAGTTCAGATAGCTAACATTTTTTTTCCTTCTAAACTGTTGAATTAGGAATATAACTAATATAAAAATTATTTGTGATCATTAATCAGTTCTATTGACCTTAGAGAAAAATAGACATCCTTAGATCCTATGCCTGACTATCAATTCTGTCAATTTGAACATGATCTCTAATGGATCTAAGCCAAACTTTGGTTTTAGTTTTCCATTATATATATCCAAATCTCTTTATGTCTGGTCTTTGTGCATAAGTGCTACACAGATTTAGAAAGAGCAAGATAGTTATTGTATTTAATCTGATAGCACATTTTTATTATGAAGAGCGAAATTATTAAACGTTATCTGCAGAAGAGCATTGTGCACAATTTGTTTTCTTATTACTTGGGAAATGAATTGTTAAGCTTGTCTTATTTTAGTTTAATTTGCTGCCAGACTAATCAACGCAAATTATTTCGGCTACACATTGAGTCGTAAGTAATGTTCTCTGATTGTACAACATTGAAATGTGCAACTAACCTTCGATCATCTGTCATGGGTAAAATTGGTAAGAGCATGACCGCATATCTACCAAATTGTCTTAAATCATTCTCCGACATAACTCGTAAAGTTCTTCTCAATTCGTGTTATATATACCTTGCTAGGTTGTTTAATACCGTCGTGTATGTTGGTTATGGAAATTAGTGAAATAAAGCATTTTGAGTTAATCCGGAGAGTATTTGCTGTGATCGAACTTTGTCATATCACTAACACGATTGTATGTGCCGTTTCGCCCCTGTACTCAAGTCCAAAACCTAACCGTTACGATTCCTTTTGGGCCGCGTTTTATGTGTCTGCTCGTGGAATACATATCAATTTTATATATTTGACAACTGATAATTGATCTCTGTAATAAATTAATGTGTTACATACCAAAACAATTTTTCTCCTATAATGATGGTCACACATTCTTTTGAATGGTTGAACAGGAATCGCTAAGGTGAACACATTGGGTAACCATGGATCAAGTTCTTTGTTGGAATCTTTTATTTGTAATGCTTTGTTGATGTACATTTGTATGAAAATTGTAGAAGGCCAGTAAAAAAAAATCGCTTTTACAATTATTGTTTAACCCAAAACTAAAATATCGAATAAATTTTTCCCCGAACACTAGCGATTTCTGTTTTCAGTTTTCAATTTTATTTAAATTGTCATAAGTGCTAATTTATTTCTTTGGTGTTATTCGTTGTTTTAACTTAAATTCGTCGTACAGGTGATTATGAAGAAAAAGTGAAAATGCACAGTTAATGCGAGGCGAAATTTATTATTACATACGTGGAATGGATTTGTCAGAGAATTGTAAATATATAATGTTTTATGTAATAACTATTTTGATTTCTGCAAATATCCACGTGTATAATAGCATATAGTTGTCAATTAGATTTATACGAATCTTATATTCCTTGAAATACTTTCCCCCAACAAATAAAAATACGAAAGTTCTAGATGAAAGTAGACTGTAACGATGACTATTTTTTATCTGTCTAGGTGGATGACCATCGTAAACTAATTTATACACAGAATAAAATAAAAAATAGATTTACCTATTGGCAAGTTGTGTAAAATAAATAAGCTTACTATATAATGCTATTATTATTATGTCACTAGTTAAGTAAGCAATATAAATATAAGGTAATACGAGATTATTGTTTTTTATTTTACGACCGATCTTTTATTAAAATCTAAAGACTAGTACCATGCTGAGAGCACGGGTACCGTCTAATAAAATATAGTAAACAAAATTGTCTTAGAATGTGTTGATTAAGCGAGAGACAGGAGGAGTTTTCCTTAGTAAATTTCAGTCAACCTGAAAAAAAATTATATAGATCGTAATGCTAAGAACAATTAGTTTAGTTTTGCATATCGACGACTTCGGCTTTCAACTTGGAGGCGAGGGCCCTGCGCAGTTGCATGGCGTCGGGAGGCGGCTGTGGCGTTTTCCCCTGTAGGGCCGCCTGCGCCATTCTGGCGGAACGGGGTCTCTGATGGCGGACGCTGCTCATACCTTCGCCAGCTGAAAATTTCAAGATGAGCCAAATGTTCGTGACGATGCAAAACCAATTTAGAGAAAGTAAAGGAGCAGTAAACGACCAATGTTCAGCAGTGGACTAAAACATGCTGAAATGATGATGACCATGATTATGATGATGAAAGCAACAGTGCCTACACAGGCACAGTGAATAGTTTATGATCGATCTTATTTTTAGTGCTAGTCTCTGCAGCCAAGATGAAAATTTTGTTTTGTAGATAGACTGTAGATTTTGTCGTGAACTAAAAATAAAAATTAAGGCCCCGGCTAGCCCTTCACCACACCAGAAGAAACGCAGAAGTGTAACACTTGCACTTCACGCCGGTTCTCTGCGAGGTGGTGGTCCTTCCCAGGCCAGACCTGCCCACTCGTGCAACTGCGAAGACTAGTGACCCCTACAACAGTGCCCTACCACATACTGCCACCAGAGGCTAAATGACGATGTAAAAATTAATATACTGCCACTATGTGCTCTTGCCAGAACTCGCTATTACGCCCGTGAGTGAGGATCTCTACGCGAGCTTCTGGCTCCGCTTTTTTATATTCACTCTAGGGGCAGGGACAACAAGACCACAAGGAATTGGGGTGCTGTGTCGGATGTGTTACTCACTTTGAACCTTACCTAATCCACTACAAGAATCCACAGAACACCATTATTTCTTGTTCTACCTATTGCGGCAGAATAACATTATATATTAACTTACCACTAGCGGCAGTATATTCATTTTTATTAAATGACCACTGGCGTGAGAGACACTTTCTATTTAAAATTGATATATATACGGCATGTTCTTTTGGATTATCAAAATGATAATATCTATAGAATAATGCCCTCTCGCGAACATTGCACATTTCAGCAAAGTAGGTCCGAAAAATCCGTTTCGTGACTATGAACCCTGTAAACTGTTCTAAACGCCGGTAGTTTTAATTAGTAACAAAACCCCGATAAAATCCGTACAGGTATTCTTTTAAATACAATCTAAAAAAATAAAAGTAAAAAATAAAAACAAAATAAAAGTTTTTGTTCCATGGATGGGACAAATGTATGTATACTTCTTCTGCAACCGGGCGAAAACCTAGATACATTTGATGTATACTAATATGTAAAATAAAAAAAAAAACGTTTTAAAATTGAAGTTTAGTAATAGATAAGTTTAAAGCGTAAGCAATTTTCTTACGGTGAATTCATAAAACTCATCGTTGTAGAATGGCAATAAAATTAAGCCGGCTTAATGCGTTTTTTATTATAGCTCAAACAAAAGCGTAAGCCAATAATGGTTATTGAAAAATCGTTTCATAGTGGTACTACTTGCCTTTTGTTTTTATAGCAAACCATATGATTATCTACAATTATACAAAAAAGTATTAGAAATCACCCCCAACGTCTGATGATGCTTCAGTTGCTCCAAGACGTTTTTCTCGGACTTGCTTCTTGAGTGCCAGCAACTTGTCTCGCTGTTGTTTGAGATATTCCTGACGAGCTTGTACTTCTTCCTCACTTACCTACAAGAATTGAAAATGGATTGTATGTCGGACCCACCGTCAGACCGGGACATGACAACACTATACACATAGTGCTATTAGGTACATGGTACACCATTTTTTCAACATTACCCGGGGTCACGACGGTTCGTGCCGAACCTCGATGGGCCCTAGCGCCGCCTCGCGGAAAATAATTTTAATTAAGTAATAATAATTTCGTTTCCTTGATTTTATTATTGAAATATAGCATATCTTGAGGACAAAAAGTGAAAATTTAATATATTCTTAGCTGGTTATGTGATTTATCTTTTTTAGCTGAATATTTGTCAGAAATTAAATCGCCCACACCTATAGACTATGCCCACCACGCTGTAAAAATTTATTACGCATTTGCTTTGGTAAAGGTTGACCACCACTGCCAAAAGAATTAGCTACTGATAAATGATGTGAAACAAGAACACTAATTTGTAAATCTATCATCTGTGTGAGTATCTAAACATTTACACTCACGCAGTCATCGAAAACAAAATTATTCAGGATAAATTATATAATTTTTACGTATTTTATTAAACCTCTTAATAAAACGCGATAAAAGCCTTAGAATACGTTCATTTAACCATATTGTGTACTATTCGCGTAGAAACAAGAAATAAAAATTAATCTGTTCTTATTTAACAAAACACAAGAAGTTATACATTATCTTCAGTATTTACTTCTACTTTCTGAACCGGAATTTTTGGCAGTTCAACATGTTTTCCTTTAGAGATAAATTCAATCTCCTTTGCCGCAATATCTTCACTTTCCTTATCTTTTTCCAGATCCTTTTCACATATTTCTTCTTTATTTGCAAAGGTCTGTAATTTGGACAAAAGGATACTTTTCTCAGCCACAACATCTTCCGGCGGAACGGCGACTGTATCATCAATACTTTCAAAGTCTTTCAATTGGAGCCTGTAATTCATTAAAAAAAAATTACTCGAAATGAAAAAACTCTTAACCAATATGACTTATTATTAAATATGTATTTTTCTTTGAATAAGAATTTACGTGAAGTAGCATAATACTTTTGCGTGGTAACTACGGTTGCGTGTAAACGACGCATCTGCAATCCTTCAACTATTGTATGTAAGTATATGTCATGTATGAGCCGTGATAGCTCAGTTTCCGGACGCTTGCCTTTAATTCAATATACTCGAGCAACCTGAGTTCGATCCCCGGTGCCGGCACCAATGAAATATTTAATTTTAAGTGCCGAGTTATCACTTGCTCAGCGGTGAAGGATAAAATCGTGAGGGACCTGCATATTTTCGAAATAATAACAAAAAAAAAATTCGAAGATATGTGAAGTCCGCAGTGGGACCAAGTGGCGGATTATGCCCTGATACCCTCTCTACAGAGGACGCCTTTGCCCAGTAGTGGGACATGTATAGGCTGATACTTTAATTTTTTTGCTGATACTTTAATAAGCGACGGTAATAGTTTGATATCAGGTAAATTAAAAATCTGTTTTGTTTGTTATGAAACAATAAGCGCCAATGATATTAAAATATAAAGCTTCTATGAGGTGTTAGCGACGCCGACGTTAGAAACCTGAATATCTTTAGGACCTACGACTTTGAAGCCCAGCTTTTATAGCCACTTTACTAGTAGGCATTAGGCAAGACATACATGTATAGTCATGAATAATAAATTTTCCTTTAAAGTGCAAACGTACGGAACATTATTTTAGGATGAATTGCCCATCTGACCGCGTTGAATTAATGATAACAATCTTCCTTTATTAGCATATTTTATATAAACTAAAGAAATACGGAGGGTCTTGTTATGAGAACGAGTTTAAATAAGAATCAACGTTAACACTTGGTTGCCTATTCTAATTTCGCAAAGCGTTCCTAATCATAATTAAATTATATTCGTTAGGATTTCATATTAGGTATTTTAGTATGTAACACTTATGTCCGTTTCCATCATCGATCCCTAAACTTCAAGTGACACCTAAAAAATTTAAGTGCTAGTTTCGTTTTCACCAGTGCTTAAGTTAAGTGTCACTTGAAGGCTTAAACCTGACATCCTCTTATGACTAAAATAGATTTTCTAGGTCGCGGGATTTACAACCCAACACTTGCATAAGTCTCCAATTTAGCAAAGCTTTTGATTTTCCAGAAGGCTAGACACCTCAAGACTACTGCGCATTGCTGTGTTTTACATTATTTCCTGTTAGGGAAATTGTGTTGCTTTACATAATGATATACAGTATACTACTGTATCAGTTTCGTAAAACAAAAATTAGTTCGGAACAAAATCGTTAGGTACTCATGGAGATTGAGAAGGCTGAACACGATGTCTATCGATTTTCATAAAATTAGCAAAGTGATGGGTAAGTTTAGCCATGTAACCTTTTTTACGGTGGTAGAGCCACGCAGCAGCCTTGGCTGTTGCACGAATGGGTAGGCTCGTCCGGGTAAGTATCACGACCACACAGAAGACCGGCGTAAAGTGGAAGTATAATACTTTCGCGTTTCGTCTGGTGAGTGAGGTGGCCGGAGCCTGATTTTCAGAAGGTTATCAACGCATCTGGAACTAGGGTGTAGCAGATGTCTATGGGCTATTCACTTATTAACATCAGGTGAACCGTCTGCTCGCTTGGCAACTTTTCACATAAATTAAAAATAATAAAATGTAAACTTTTTTTTAATATTGATTTCGTATCTTTTTTATCGAGATGCAAGTGGCTCACGTGTTGATAGGATTGCCGTTTATGGAAATTTCGAATTCCAAACAAATATGTTGCCGACCTTTAAAGTAGGAATGAAATTACATAACACTTTCATGTCTTCTTTTGAATATATATTTACTTGTGAATTCGTTAGTGTCATAAGTTGCTCATAAAATGAGCAAACTTAGTATGAAGACGACGTTTCAACCGAAACCGGTGTTCCTGTGTAGTGCGCATGGAGAATGCTGTGGCTAATAACGCGTCAGTGTTGTTGGGGAAAAAGTATGTCAGTTGTTATAATGATCACTGAACGATCAAACAATCGGAGGCGCTTAAAAATGAATTAGGCTATTGCATTTCTTTTGTGATCTTTATTTTTCATATAAATCTCTTACTAATAAATTTAAAACACGAAACGGATCATTAAAAAAGAAATGGTTCATTATTAAAATTATACAGTAAGTATAATTTATTTTTGTGATATCTGTAAAATTTAATTGCCTTAAATGCCTGCCAGTACTTGACTATTAAGTATTATTTCACCAGATGGTAAGTAAAGAGTTATTTTGGATGGTATACCCACTAGCTCCAGTAACAATAACCTAGTTAATCTTGCCTTGAAGACATTATAAAAAGCCGAGGAAATTGACGCTGGCAGACTATTGACTGCGTAAAAGACATTTTTATCCTAATTCATAATGCTTACATATATGTATACTAAATTTGAGTATGGATTAACGATTTATCTGTTCGAGTCTGGATAAATAGTAACCATTTATGATTTAAAGTATGCAATGGCTGATGCATAATCCGAAATAATTACACAATTGGGCAGCGGCTTACCATTACCTACATGGGAAATTATATTGAGTACTTACTTTTTAATTTCTGTCATTACGTCATCATTGTCTTGCCAATCGTTGTCTTCGCCACTACGGGAAGTGTCTAAATCCTCCGAATCCGAAGAAAACAAACTCGGCATAGCGCCATATCGTCGTTCAATGAGCTCCAAAGCCTAATAAATAGTTTAGATACATTAAGTCTGTTATCAAATCGCTTCATTAATTAACATATTCATATCAGTTAAGTCACTGCGCTATTAAACGTGACAGAGATGACAATTGAGTATTATTTATATTTCACATCTCATTGTTTACACTTTACATCCTAGACGAGCCGTAACATTCATGTAACAGCATTACTGCTTCATTTATCTATCGAATTTCTAAACATCAACGCTTTCGTACTCTGGACATTAAAAATAGTGCGCGAAGGCTTTCGGATCGAATTGATAGAAAGAAAGAGAAGAAAGAAAATAAATTTATTTATCAACAAAAAGGAAGCACGCAACAACAAAAAGTAATTTAAAAAATAAAATAAAAGGATTATTGGATAATTGCATAGATTGCCTCTCGAAGTTCCAAGTGTTACCGACTACCATATCTATTGGTAAGCTGGATAGGGTCAGTAGGTAATTTGCAAAATCCACTGACTCATATTGCGCGTGGTGATAGACTAAGCACCTGTTAGCGGACTTACAGGAATCAGCACCTGGTAATACATTCACGCGTCACTAACTAGTTAAGTCCGCATTATAATGTAGGATTTCACATATTTTCATGCAGGATTTCTCGTCAGCCAGAAGTATTAACAGGGATTTCCGGATATCAAGTTTCCACAATCCCAACACGCATTTTAGACTCTTAACACGCTCACCAGTTATGGATAACTATTTCCGTCATCCGTCGTTTGGTTTTTTCTGTACAGAATTTTTAAAACCTCTGATCAACGCAATCATTGATATCCTGTTAAAATTTATTGAAGGGTTTGCTTTTCTAAAGGTGCCCAAATAAACACAGGAGGTTCAGACTCGGTAGCATAATCGTTTGTTGAAATAAGAACAAACTGTTTTTTTCAAAAAAAAAATTGCCATTTTATTCCCTAAAAATCAGAAATTGTTGACAATGCGGTAGTCATTCATAAATGCGTCGTATACTTTTGAAACGAACTTGTGTGCGTGTTAGTTATGAATGATCGCGCGTAAAATAAATGACTTGCCCATAAATTACGCACTTTTTGAGATAAGTTAAAAAGAAATTTATTAATTAATTATGAGTGATTTTAAATGTTTATTATTTATGTCTAGAATTTAATTAAAAAAAATGGATACACTTAGAAAAGCCTCCCTGTATAATCACACAGATATTCCGAACACGCGACTACGGCTTTTGTGAAAGTTGCTTAATAAATCTGCCGTCGTGCGTGCATCATGGAAAAAACTACTGGATAGAATTCTCCTAAGTTCTTAGACAAATAACCCAAGGAATAAAAGAAAAGTTTTTTGTTTTCATTTAATGTCAAGTTATAACATTTTTAATAAACAACGATATTCATAAGCAATTTGATAATTTTTCTTTGCACATTAAATACATTTCTGTTTGTAAAATTACTTAACCACCATTATATACAGGGAGGCTTTTCTAAGTGTGTCCATTTATTATTGCATTTCTAAGTGTATCCATTGATGCATGTATCAGCTAGTTTGAACTGAATTTCGTACCTGCAATTGAAGCTCCACGTTCTTATGCGTCATCATTTTCACGAACATATCGTAGTCGTTGGCCGCCCAGATTTGTTCAAACAGCCTCTTGTGGAAGTAGGCTGGGAGCTCGGCTAGGTCGTGAGCCGATAAATGGCATGCAGCTTCGAACAGATCGGCAGTTATTCCGATGTCATCCATAAAAGAACCCAGCATGACGTCTACCTGCAGAAGCCAATGATTTACAAACAGATATATACAGAGCCGTGATAGCTCAGTGTCCGGGCGCTCGCCTTTAATTCAATATACTCGAGCAATCTGAGTTCGATCCCCGGTGTCGGCACCAATGAAGTTTTTAACTTTAAGTGCTGACTTATCACGTGCTCCGCGGTGAAGGAAAACATCGTGAGGAAACCTACATATTTTCGAAATAATAACAAAAAAAATGTATATTTCGAAGATATGTGAAGTCCGCCAATCCGCAGTGGAGCCGCGTGGTGGACTATGCCGTGATACCCTCTGTACATGTTTAAGCTGTTACTTTACTTTTACTTTTTTTATATACAGATACTCGGAATCATCGAGTTATCTAATTTAATGAAACCGGTGGCATAAAGCATACTTAAAAGGATTTTTATTTATAGGTTTTTATAGTTAGGTTTAACATAGATAGGTTAGATTCCTTTGGAGTATATTTATATAATATATTAAGGAGTCCCGTGAAGCGGAGCAATGCCACTAATAACAAGATAATTTTTTCCCCCTTAATGTCGGCGCAAATTCTTACTTCGTAATTATTGCTTCGTTTATGTTTATTTATAGATTAAAAATATTTATTTTACGAAAAACCCCCGCGCCGCTATTGTAAACAATGACCGTGGAAATACGTACACAAATGATATGGAAACCTCAAGTTTATATATTTTGCTTTTTTGAGAAAGTGGCAACCAAGCTGGGGATTCACCTGATGTTAAGTGATAATCGCTACCCATGGACATTTGCAAACACGTAGGGTTGCTGATGCTTTGCCTAATGAAGTGGGCCCCAGTTACCTCACTAACCAGACGAAACGCAGAAGTGTAACACTTCTACTTCACGTCGGTCTCCTGTGTCCTCTCTTCCTCGGTTTCCCGGACGAACCTGCCTCGTGTTATTTTGCGTATTTATATGAATGTGTTCAATAAAAAATTAACTTACTAAATTGCGGTATTCATCGTGGATTTTTTTGTATTCGGGCCTGTCATAAACTTCTCCTGTATCAGAGGGTTCAAATGCTAAAATAAAGATAGTTTTTGAATATATGTTTTGCATAAATTAGTATAAATGATAAATTTTTGTTAGTACACAATTGTCGAACTGAAAACAGAATACATATTTTTGGCAACATTCAATTACTATATGATATACCTAGTTTATGGAATAGGAATAGATATAGAAGTTTATAACTTAAATAAAATGTATTTGTGCATACAACAAGATAATTTTGTTTACACATTTTTTTCAGCAAGCAAGCAGGTAGTTTACCTAATGTTAAGTGATTACCGTCGCCCTCTTATTTTAACACTTGTTGAAAGTCAGTTGCAAATCTTTAAAAGAGAAGGTTCCAGCAATCTCACTCAACTGGTATAAAGCCTACACTTCACGGCGGTTTTCTGCGAGGCCATGGCACTTTTCCGACAAGTCTGCCGACCTACAGTCTGTCTACAGAAGACCTTCGACTACCCGTGGTTCTTTGGTTCATTTTTTTACACATCCAAACACCTACACTACTTTAATGACGTACATTTTTTTCTCATATCATAGTATATTTTTGGAGAAAAAGGAGTCTTATTTATGAAATTCTGTATTGTCCATCACTATATAGTTGGCAAAAATTTCGTATTTTTATAGCATGGATTTCTTTTCTTCTCACAACAAATCATAAACCCTATAACTATCTTTATTTCCTTTACACTTTAAATCATTACAGTTAAAAGATCAACCAGTTCAACCGAACAAGAAACCTCTTGTTATAATTTTTTTAGATGATAAATGTACTAACGTAAAGACTTTTCTTCAATAAATGTTTGTAATGGGACATTCCACACAGGTCCATGAAGAAAGCAAACGAGTGAATCAAATACCCATGCATTACTATCAGGATCAGACATTTTTACGATAGAAAAGATTTAATGTAGTTCAAATTATTCAGCTCCACTAGCGTGTTAACAATTAAAACTTGTTTCAACCAAATTTTAATACAATGTTTTTGACAGGTAACTTTATTTGTAACGTTGTTGTTATGGAAACGTTTGTTTTATCCCAATCATTTGGTAATTAATTTCTTTAAACTCTACTTCATAATATCTTTCGATAATTTTATTTGTCCATTTTCTATTTTTCCTGTACAATTTCGGGATACAGTCACTGGTCTTTTCTGGCTTTTTTAAAATTCCAATCAGTACTATCAATATTATTGCTATGTAGTATAGTTATAACTGAACGCAGACTTACGCCAGAATGATCTTCTTAATGATCATTATTGTGTCATTGGCCATATCATATATAGACCGCCAATTGCCTGAGAAAAAGAAGATCTTCTAAATGATCAGAATAATCAATTCAAAGAGTAGAACCATCCTTTTGGCAACTCAAATGACATTTGAAAAGCCATTTGATCTGATTAATTAACATCTACGATGATCAGTGATTCAGAAACCGGGCGTTAGTTGTTGCGGTACTCTAAGCTATAATACCCCAATGGCTTTTCATTTTGGAAACTAAATAAATTGTAAACTATTCGAGAAGTAGTCAATCAAACATGTATTGGCGATATGTGTGCTTCACAAGTTATACTAGAAGATGGAAGTGAATTGATGATGATTGTTGTGTACATTTATCCTAATAAAAAAATAAATGACATCATTTCATATTTTCATGTTATGTCCAATACATTTGTAACATACTTCAGTTACCATCGACCAATTGTCACAGTAATACCGTCCTCAGAGGCAACATCGAATATAACTATTACCGAAGTCATTCAAGTTTGAAATAAATTCGTAAATTTTTGTATTTAATGAAAATAAATGTTAATTCAATAAATAGTCATCGTTATCTGGAAAAAAAATCGTAATATTTTATTTTATCATTTTGACATATTAAGTTCCTATCACAATCTGTTCTTTTCTGCATATTACTTTTACAAAATAATGTCGATGTTTCACATCTGCCAGGCGTCCCGTGACGGCTCATTTTTTATAACTAAGTTTAGGACATAATTAATGAATATATGATAGTGGAATATTATTGTAGATTTATTTAGTAGAGGTTTTTAACACCAGTGAGTCTTAGAAGGTCAAGCGTACATTTAAAAATATTTAAGTTTTTTCTCAACTCAAAAGTTTTCTCTCAACTTTAAAACTTTTAATATATAATTTAATTATTAGTTGTTTTATTCATTAACTACTATTTTAATATAATGTACACTATTTTATTATGTACACTAGTATTCTTTTGTGCGGTATTATATTACACTATTTTTTAAAAAGTTCATAAAAACCCTAAAACGACTAAAAAAAAAACAAATCTTTTTTAAATATTAGAACACGAAAGAAATTAAGGAAAATTTTCTACCGCAATTATTCCGACGCAAATATTATACATACACAATTACGCATATTTAAATAAAAACTATTACGTGCTTAAGTAGCAATTCACTCCAGCTCAATGTTAAATAAATAAACAAAATTTAAAGACATCTTTGATACCATGATTAGTAAACGGAAACAAAGTTTTTTTGCATGATTTTAAGATTCAAAATTGCTTTACTTATTCATGAAATCTGTTTTCAAAATCTGATATTGTGCATTGCTTGCCGTACCGCTCTAACTAGTGTAATATTTTTTTCACACGCGCTTTGTCGCTCGAAATCGGTTTAAAAAAATGATATTGTGCATAGCTTGCCGTACCGCTGTAACTAGTAATATTTGTAATTTGTATCTCATGCGCTTTGTCGCCTAAAATCTGTTTAAAAGTCTGATATTGTGGCAAAACACGTACAATATCGTAATTCGTGTCGGTATAGCGAATGAGGGAGCATTCGGTAGATTTTGAACGAGCCAGTAAGCGATTTTCGGATATTGTACCAATACATAATTTTCACATCTGTATACGATTTGTATCGCCCACTTCTAATTTGAACCAAAGAGTAAAGTAATCTATGGTTTCAAATTGAGACGTCAAAGTTCAAGCAATGTTTCGAAATGGGTCAAATTTCAAATCAAAATATTTTGAAAATTTGAGCTTTGATGCCCGAACTTATAGTTATTAAATAAATTTCCGATTTAACATGGCGAAATTTGAAAGAGTTTTTGACTATGAAAATGTAAATGGTGTCCATCTTACACTAAAAATTGAAAGGCGGAAAATTTCTTCCAATTCAATGAGTTTCACAGTTTCTTTTAAAAATAAGGAAAATAAATCTCATTGGCCTAAAATGTCTCTAATAATGGCAATAATGTTTAATATTTTAGCCTTAATTTATATACGAATAAGTATTACTGCTATATTAATCATTATTATAGTTTCATCGTTTCTAGTTTTCTTTTGGCTTACACATAGTGTTCAGTCAGGTTTGTTATCCATTCTATGGTAGGTATTTGTTATGTATGCCACATATTGGTATATATTAATGAATTATTGCTGATAAAAAATCAAAATCTTTTTCTTGATAACAAGTAACTTAGTTTGATATTTTTACTAAAGTATTTATGTAATTTAAATAATTGGTCATTAAAATCGCTTAAAATTCTAAATATTAAGCGAAACGTAAACTATTAACATGTTTCAAGAAAGTTCTTGCTATATACATTTATAAGTTCTGCATTTGGATATAAAAAATATTTGCATTATAATTATGCCGGTCACAAATATATATGTGAAAATAATTATAGTCTCATATGTTATAATACATGGATATAAATAAGCACAATTATCCTTGCAAGTCATGAAATCTATCAAATTGAAATCTTAGAAACTCTTTTGTTTTAGAATCAATTCTGGTGATACCTACTGTGGGAATACAAAATTCAATAAAATATGTTTTGGGTAGAGATGATGTTTTTGTTCCCTGGGCAAAAATTGATGATGTTATTATAAATGAAGTCATTAAATTAGTAAGTATTTCTACTACCAGACTAATCAATCACAAATTGATATAAATTTATTTCATCCCCATTGGTTATCGGTTCTACAAGCTATATTGCCAGCCCATCTCCACTTTAGCTTGCTGCTAATCGTCTTTAATTACTTATTATTCAATCCAAATTTATTCTGCTGCCTTTCTTCTATTTTACACATGAATAATGTTTTACTACAAGTTTTGTGGTTAAAATTATAATTGGAAAAAATAAGGTTTACATTTGAGTCTTTTTTCAATTTTTAATTTTATATAAAACATTAATAAATTAATGTTTTCTAATAAATTATTCCAGAACCGTGTTTTGTATTACCTTACATTAATAGTGAAGGCTGGAACATCCCATCCGAGTCCGGAATCTGAAGTCATTAAGTTAATTCCATTATTTAAGGTAATTAAATTAATTTGTATACTTATATTATAAAATAATAAAAGAAGTCATTGTTAAAGTGAATTCAAAAAATTATGTAATGCATTTTTTAGAATTTTAGTCCCTATTTACCTATGGCAGCTTACATAGGTGGTAGCTTATTTACTCCAAAATTAATTTCTTTTTAGTCCATCCAAAGGTTGCCTGGAAGAAATTACTAATAAGGCCACCATTGTACCCATTACTACACTTTTTCTACATTTATAAACGGTTTTATTTAGCTCGACCTGTACGGAATTTGTTTATTTATTTGGGTCAAAATTATAAATTGAAATTTAAGCACCTTCCCGTTGTCAGATTGATCTGAAATTTGGTACACACATTTAATTATATGACAATACAATATTGTAGTTTTCAGTGCACATAAAATAAAACCGTTTAACTTAAAAGTTTTTAAACGGTTTTATTTGAATTTTAAACACACACATTGCACAGTATATTCATCCATTCATTCTTATCAATAGACTATATACCTATAAAGGTTGTTAATAAGCGACCTAGCTGGGCCAGTGTCCAATTTGTGCAAAAGTTTTTAGGGTATAGTTTACCACACAAGCCCACACCACAGATTGGAAGGCTGCATACATTTTGAAATATTTTCCATTTTTCTGTTAATTTTATAGAAATTCATAATCCATTTTATGCATAATTGTATGATTCCTCTGAATTCGTCTTATCCTCTTTTCTATTCTTAACAACCCTGCCTCTCTTCAGCTAAAGTAAATAATTTAGTCATGTCATTTTGTGGAGCTGGTATCTATTATAGGTGTAAACCTGTATCACAGATCACCAGGTCCTCACCCCTCGGAATCAAGTTAAGCATAGTTAAAAAAGCTAAAAAATCTGGCTATGTACATGAAAATAAAAAGTTTGAAGTATTGTCCAGGTGTAAGGAGTTTGAATAAAAAATCAATATGTTTTTGTGCATGGGTGCGTGGGGCAATTCAGACAGACAGATAGAGAGTCGAGCCTTAGTAATAGGGTCCTGGTTTACCTTTTGGGTACAGAACCCTAAAAACTAACCGGTGAAACTGCTCTTTGAGCTCTTTCGAGTTTCAGTAACAGGGTTTTAGTTCAATATTACTCTGGAACTCCTTGCCTCAGTGAATTGGAAAAAACACCAAGTAAGGAATCATTTAATAAAATGCTCTAAGTCACTATGTCGCTCTTACCAATACTTAGGGTCAACAACTTTATCCTTTGTATTTATAAGTCTCTGTAGCTATGTAATTATATGTATGCATGTATTGGATATAATATAGGATGGAATATAATATGATGTATGTATGGGATGAAATATAATATGATGGTATTGGAATATATACATATTCAATAGTTTATTGTGTACAGTATTTATGTTTGTGTAAATGTATATTTATAAAATGTACCTCCTCCTTTTTGTTTTCTTTTAATTTTTTAAATTATAAGTCAAACTTTCACCACTCTCATTGGACTGGAAGAGAATGTTTGCCGATGAAAATGCCTTAAATTGGGGTACAAACAATAAATTTATTTTAAGGATAGGACGGCTATGTTTATCATACCACTGGATAAAATGCAAAAGCAGAACACTCTTTTTAGGCCTTTTTAAGCCATTGTTTTCCCGTGTATATGTACATATGTGCATTTGCTCAGCACTTTCTTTTTATCCATGGTCATAGGACGTGTCTTGCAACATCTGCATTTCTCTTCAAGTTGTATTATTACTGATACCAAATAACTATTGGAATGTATCTAAAAGTAGATATCTATTCTATAGCTATTCTAGCTTCTTGCAATGATGATTGGATTGGATGTGAATTATTGTCTCTTCATTCTATAATAATCTAATAAACTTTCTTACTAAAATATCTATTCCTGTAGAAATTTTTAAACAATATCGAACAACATTTTTTAAAACAATTATAATAGGTCTAATTATAATATAATTTAGTATAGGTCCCTTATCCCTATACTAAATTATTAATGTATAATTCTAAAAATAATATAATGTTACTATGTTTATTAAATCTAGTCTTTTACAAAATACGCTAGTGTGAAACGCGCTGCAAAATTAATTAGGGTTAATTTTGAGGTGCTTGCTCATTTTCCAGTATACAAAACCGCGGCTGGTGATGCTCGAAACAATCTACTCGGAGCTGCAAACTTTATTGGTAGCTGCACAACGCACAGCGGTTGAAGTCGGTTCCGGCGACGTAGAATTAATTTAATTAGTGTTTATTTAGAATAATTTGTTAGTTCATTAATTTTTGACTGAAAATATTTTTTGTGTGTGTATTTGTGTTAGTAGTTATAGGTATAAAAGTATGATTGTATGAATACTGTTATTTCGTTATGTGTGATAATTGGGAATAAACAAAAAAATATAGTAATTGTTCTTTTTCTCCACCTATTAGCTTTAATAACAAAATTATTGTAATAATATGACAATAGGCCTAGGACTTTCGTATGCTAAGTATATGAGAGGCTGTTATCACTCGTGTCAAATTAATGAAGTTACTTCAGACATCCTTACTAATATAATAAAGGCGAAAGTTTGTATGTATGTATGGATGTTCGTTACTCTTTCACGCAAATACTATCCAATGGATTTTATTGAAACTTTACAATAATATAGCTTATACACCAGAATAAGACATAGATTATAATTTATATACATATTTTATCTAAATCTGTCTTTCTGTCTGAATGTTACGCCTTCAGCCTATTCTACGCAGACGTAGTCGTGGGCAGCAGCTCTATAATGTTGAATTTCAAATTAATTCTTTTCTTATTCAATTAATAGTCAGTGATATTTAAACAAAAAGGTAAATAGCCTACAGATTTATATAAGAGACAACCTAGATATACTACACTACATGAAAGCGTCATCCGTCCCATTAATTATGACTGCTGAGTTGCTGCCTCATTGAGCGCTATGGACTGTGGTGTAATTTCGATACCAATGGACAGCGATGGAAGTTTGTTCCAATTAAGGAACAACTTGGGTAGCCTACAAAGAGATATTCCAAGTTAAGGTCAAACATGATTATGATGCCTATTGGACATTCCACGTGAAGCAGACCTGGTAAGCAGCCGGCCAAGTGCGAGTCGGACTCGAGCACGAAGGGATTCATACCATTATTTTAGAAACTGCAAAAAAGTCAGTTTTTTTTATGCAAAAAGTTGCCAAGCGAGCAGGCGAACCTGATGTTAAGTGAATACCGCCGCCCATGGACATCTGCTACACCCGAGGGTTACAGATGCGTTGACAACCTTTTGAAGATTGGGGTCCGGCTAACTCACTCACCAGACGAAACGCGAAAGTATTTATTATACTTCCACTTTACGTCGGTCTTCACCAGTCAGATAATAGCTACCGATCGAGCCGAGGTCCGGCCCTCTCGGGCACCCTCGAATCGGAATGCTAAACGAGTGCTGAGTGACAGCCCAAGCCGAGGTCCCCTCTCGGGGACCCTTGAGCCTGATCACTCCATGGAGCGCCCGCCGAAGCGCCCTAAGAGGTAATAATAATTGCGTGACGGCCCGAGCCGAGGCTCCCCCGGGAGCCCTCGAGTTTAGTCACCATAACGCGTAATAATAGTACGCCGAGGTTCAGGCTAGGCGCCTCGTGCGCCAGGCCACCTCAAGCCCGTCGGAACTGTAAAGGCCCCTAAGGCCAACAGTAGCTCATCCAGCCAAAAATAAAAAAATCGGTCTTCTGTGAGGTCGTGGCAGTTACCAGGACGAGCCTGCCCATTCGTGCAACGGCCGAGGCTGCTGCATGGCCCTACCATAGTTAGCGTTAGTTGTATGGGAACCTCACATAAACATTTTTCTATTCTGTTCTTTTAGTAATTATTGTTATAGCCGCAACAGAAATACATCATCTCTGAAAATTTCAACTATGTAACTATCACGGTTTATGAGACACATCTCGCTGACAGACAGACAGACAGACAGCGGAGTCTTAGTAATAGGGTGCCGTTTAACCCTTTGGGTACGAAAACCTAAAAAGTCTATAAGAGTTGATGATTTCGGGTTCTACTAGCTAGAGTTGAACAGGTTTGAAACCTGGCAGTGGCGATAAATTTTACGACAGTTTTATCTACACATTTTAATTGACGATAAAGATTAAAATAGTATTATGATTCTATTTTCATCCATTTCAGAGGCATTAAATTGACCGCGTGATTAAAAGTTTCCTAATTGGGTTCCTGTAGCTTTTGTTTTGATTACGCAGGAAAAGTTTGGAGTACATTGCCCACAATATACTTTAATCCCCCTCTCACTTCCGACAACGGTCTTAATATTTTTGCCGTCGGCATTCCTAGTGTTCTAACAAAAAGATTTGCCTTCTGGTTGGTTATGCGAATAGCAAGGGACTGGGATAATTTGCACAGTTAGGTTTTTCCGTTTGACCCTATAGTCTTTTATTTATTTCGTGCGTTAACAATCTACGGATGGTAGTCAATTACCTACTAGTCAGTCGGTAATAAAATATAGTTAAAAAAGAAAAAAGTTGAAAGTAAATTTCAATTTAAAAGAAAATTAAAGCCATGAGAAGCATGGGGTGTTCAATATCAATTATTTAGATACATCTATTTCCAAATACAGGATTAGTGTAAGATTGTAGTGCAAAGCACCCCACGCTTTTTTTATAATGTACCTATTAGATTTCTTTATTTGATCTATTAGAGCTGGAAATTTCAGGGCTGCTGTCACCAGATTTGTCGTTCAATAGATCCTCATTAAAGGCCTTGAAGTGTATTTTTTTCGATTACTGGATCTCGGACGAGTCTTGTACCGTTATTTTTCGCCACTCCCCGTATTAGGAGTGGGTAAACGGCGCCTCTGCTGCTCCCTTTGTATGTAGTAGGCGTTTCTCAGGCTCCTATTCCACCACTTTAATATGTAACAGTTTGCAGTGTCACATATTTATTTGTATATAATACATACAAACTCCCACGAGGATTTTAAATGTTTTCTTATAACTAATATAACATAATTAATATAACAAGTAAACATACAGACGTCTCAATAAATTTCACTCAAAAAATTACTTTCTGGCAGCGATAAATGGGTTTAAATAATGCCCCCACTCGCGCTTTCGCAATTTCTACGGGCCCCCCGTAGCTATTGCTACTCTTGCTACGTGGTTAATCCGGCTAATAAATGGTACAGTTTATCCTTGATCATAATTTATGACATTTATTGTATGATAGGGTCCAATGCGGTCAAAGATACAGGTGTCGTTTGTTATTTTTATTTTTGTGTAATGCGATATTTAAATGCATATATTAAAAAAAACATGTTTTTTTTCGATTGTCAATGGTTTCAAACAGCCCTGAAGTCTACAACCACCAACAACTATGCAGACACGGTGGAAGCAATAGTGGCGCATACCACTGATGTGTTTTCCATTGAATAATAATACCCAAATATGATACGAATAGTTAATTACATTGGATCAAGAACTCACGTAAGGAAGAGCAAGAGAGATTTTTTTTATTATTTATAGAGAGATTTTTGTTTATTAGAATACAACGTCTTCCAATTATTAGATTTCTCTCCTAAAATAGTCATGATCGATTTTTATTGCGCTATTAGGTTCTCAATTCGACTGTATTTTCTTTTTTTTAAGGTAGTTTGTTAGCTTAGTACTTTCGATTGAGTGAAGCGATTTTGAAGAAGGATTTGATTTTATATTTGAAAGCTGGTGCTTCCCTTGTAAAAGAAATTTCATGAATAAGGAAAAAAAAAGAAAATAAATCCTGAAAATCAATTAGGAAACGAAAACAGAGCAAGATTCGAAGTCGGTTTTTTTTCATTAATAAAAATGGACTTGTTAGCATAGTATTGGTCGTTGAATGGTCCATAACAGTAGGTATTTGGTAAGAATTTGGTGACATTAAACAAACTTCTACATATATTATTGGCGAAATTAAAGTAACTACTTCAAAATTAACTCAATCTAAAATTAACTTTTCGGCCTTCGAATTTCGACGCGCAATTATTATTGTGTCAAGCGGCTCCGGTCACAACGCTCACCAAAGGATTTCCAGAACGCGACAAAATATTCGACAATTCGGATGCCCAATTTGTTCGCAGCACTCGCGGCGCGTCAAACGGGAGCAACATGTTGAATCGCTCCATTGCCCCTATATATTCCAAAACTAAAATTAACACGTCGCTTATTCACAGCGTCGCACCGACATGTAATTACACACATCCATACGGATCTGTATATACAGATTATAACGGTGGTGTGGATCCATCTATTAGTGTCGGATATGCATGCAGTGATGGTATACAACAAGTCTAACATTGCTACCTGTTATTGTGATGATTTTATTCACTAATAGCTACTACTTGAATAGCCTGGCGCCCGGTTTCAGAATGATCTTCTTAATTATCAGAATGATCAATGGTATTCGAACAGCCATTTGACACCTGATTAATTTCTACGATGAACAGTGTTTCAGAAACGGGGCTCGAGTGTCGTAATTTCGAAAAAATATTTACAATCTACATGAAACAAGAACGCTATAAAACTTTATTTGCTCTTTGATATTGCTTTATAAATGCCACGCAACAGTGCTTGCTGTTTTATGAATTGGCGGGTCCGTTCGGGAAAGTCCTTAAACCTCACAGGAGACCGGCGTGATGCGGAAGTGTTATACTCCTGCGTTTCTCCTGGTGAGTATGGTAACCAGAGCCCTGTTCATTGAAAAGTGGCAACCAACCTGCAACCCTACAGGTAGTGAAATGGCCATGAGTGGCGGCTAGTCCTTAACATTAAGTGAACCGCCAGATTGCCACCCTCTCACATAAAAAGGAAGACTTGTCACATAACAGGAATACTTAAATATTGGAATATGTAGAAAATATGAGTTTTAAACTGTTAGTGGAAAAAGATGAAAAAATAGTTTAGGGTAAGGGAACTTAACACATTTTAGGAACACGTATAAAATATACAGAAATAAAATAAATACATTATAAAATTTTATCGAATTACCTTTTGCGTAATTATAACGTACCCGAATGTCGAATTTCATGCGAAGTTTTTACGATAAGTCGTAGGAACACTGAAGTTTTACTATAAAGGCGACTCGGTTATACCTTTACGAACGAACCCCAATAAAATGACATCATAAATTTTATTAAAAGGTTGCCAGCATATTGCACTATACAAATATTCATTTCTAAATTGCTTCGTCGAAATTCC